AAGGCACCCTGGTAAGGCTGTGTCTCTCGGGGGGGCCATGGCATCCTCCCCAGGGGCACTGCAGCAGAGGAAGGGATGGAAAAGCCATGGCCAAGGAAACTTTGGGAAGAGGAGGGGTTTGTGTAGGCCCTACAATAACCTGCTCTGGGATTTTTCTCCCCTCCCAGGGCGAGAACGGGTGTGACCGGAGAGGTGCTCCGGGGAGGAAGGGTGCCAAGGTACCGGCAGCACAGAGCGGGGATGGGGACGAGCGTGGGGCAGAGTTCCGTGGGGGAGTGGGGGGTCTGGGCCCCACTCACGTGTGCTGCTTCCCCCAGGGCGCTCGGGGCCTGCCGGGGTACCCGGGGGCTCAGGTGAGTGAGTGGGGGGGTGGCAGGGGACATGGGGACCTGGCCAGGGATGGTAAGGACGAGGCTTCCTCTGAGTGTCGTCCCCCCCCCAGGGTGACAGGGGCAAGAGAGGATCCCCGGGGGACAAGGGCAAACGAGGGCTGCCTGGGCGCAGGGTGAGTACGGCACAGCCCCCTCCCCGCTCCCCCCTTCCGTGCCCACCCACTCAACTCCCCGGGGGTTTTCCAGGGTGACCCCGGGAGCAGAGGAGAAGCGGGTGTCTGTGGCAGCGCGGGACCTCCGGGAGAGATGGTGACTCCCTGCAAATTCCCTTTTTCCTGTCACGTTTCTGCCTGCGACCAGCCCCCGTGCTCGGGGACGTGTTCCTTGTTCCTATTTCCTCTTAATTTCTCTCTTCTTTTACTGCTCCAGGGCCCAAAGGGTTCACCGGGCGTTCCCCCCTCCACGGTACGGGATGCGGGTGGGGGGCTGGCTGGGGATGGGGACCTTGGCCTCAAGGGGTGGCGTCCTCAGGGGACAACGCGGAGCTCGGTGGCTGCCTGGCCCCAGCAAGCCTTGCTGGCTTTACTTGGAAGAGCTGGGCCTGACGCTGCTTTCCACATCCCTCCAGCTTTGTGAGCTCAAGGATTTCATCCGCCGGAGCTGCGGTGAGAGCCGGGGCCAGCGGTGGGGATGGCAGGGAGGGGACAGGGACCAGCTCGGTGGCGGGGACACCGCGGGGATGCCCGGAGGGAGGCAGCGGTGGCAGGGTGGTCACGGGTACCATGAGCATGGGACGGCCCGGGGGGCGCTTTTCCAGTGGCCCCTGAGCTGCCACCATCCCCCCGCAGTCACCACCTCGCCCTCCTGCCCGCTCTTCCCCACCGAGCTGGTTCTGGTGCTGGAAACCTCCTCCACGGTGCCGCCGGGTCTCTTCTCCCGCATGAAGGAGCTGCTGGCCCTGCTGCTTCGCGACCTGCAGGTCTCCCCGTTGGGTTGCCCAGCGGGGGCCCGGGTAGCCATGCTGGCCTACACGGCCACCCCCACCTACCTGCTGCGTGCCGGGGAGGTGGGGAGCGGGGCCGCGCTGCTGGGACGTCTCCGCCGCCTCTCGCCCACCCGCTCCTCCCGGCGTGGCCATTTGGCTGCTGCCATGCGTTTCGTGGGGCACCACGTGCTCAAGAGGGTCCGGCCGGCCACCCTGGGTAGGAAGGTGGTCCTCTTGGTCACCAGCGGCCGGAGCCAGGACCTGGAGGGCATCGGGGAGGTCGCTCTGCAGTACGAAGCCCTGGGCATCGTGCCGGCGGTGCTCACCTTCAACCCGCTGCCCAAGGTGGTGCGGGCTTTCCAGGTGAGTGCCAGGGCTAGTGGGTGCTCACCCCGGACCCCCCCGCCTCCCAGCCCTCACCCCCCGCCCTGGCTCTGCCTCACCCCCAGGTTAACAACCTCTTCCGAGTGGTGCAGCTCTCGGCGGCGGAGCCGGCCAAGGATGCGGCGGTGCTGCGGGATGTGGTGCTGCCCTGTGTCCTCTGCTTCGGTACGCAGCCCCCGGGGCAGCACTGGGGATGGGAGCCCACCAGCTCCGGGGCTCAGCCCCCATCTCTTCCCCATCCCCAGACCCCTGCCACCCCGAGGGCTGCGCCGTGCCATCCTCTGACCCGCTGGACGTGGACCTGGCCTTGGTGGTGGACAACGCGGCCCCGGGGATGCCGGCGCAGAGGCTGGAGGCTGTGGGCGAGCTCTTCCACCGCCTCCTGGGGCAGCTCGCAGGGCCGCATCCAGTGCAGCGCAGCACCCGCATCGCCCTGGTGCTGACGGGTCCCTCTACCCCGGGGCAGGGTTTGACCGAGATCCCTTTTGGGCTGCCCAGCTCCGGAGAGAAGCTCCGGGAGCGCCTTCGCCTGGCGCTGGTACCCAGGGCGGCCGCAGCATCCGCCAGCGACACGGTGGCGTGGACCCTCCGGCACATCTTTCCGCAGAGCTCCGGTGAGCGGCTCCGCGTCCTTTTCGTGGTGGGGCCGGGGGCCACGGCGCTGTGGGACAGGGAGGCACGGCGGGCACTGGCCCCCTTCGCCCCGTGCGAGGATTTTGGCGTCTTGGTGATCTCCCTGGGGCGAGCCGGGACGGAGCAGCCGGAGGCGGCCGTGCCCGGGGAGCTGCCGGTGTGGCGATATCACTCCCTGCGCCTGGGCTCGGTCCACCCGCCCGAGATGGGCTACGCAGAGAGGACGGCGCTGGGTTTCCTCAGGAGGCTGCGGGGTGAGCAGGTTTGGGGGGGGGGGGGGGGGGGGCTGCAGCACCTCTGGGTCCCATCCCCAGCTTCTCCGGGAGCAGGCGGCTTCAATCCCCCCAAACCTTGCCCGCACCTCCGTCACGCCTCCGCTATCGCTTCTGCCCCGCAGCGGAGAGCAGCCGGCACCCCAGCACCCCAGGGTGTCCCCAGGAGCTGCCCCCCCCCGGGGCTGGGACCAGCAAGCCCCCCCCAGGGCCCCCTGTACAGTGAGTGAGCGGCACCGGGACTATCCCCTGTGTGTGCGTCCTTTGGTTCCCTGCGACACGAGTTGTGGGGCTGGGGGGGTTGCACCTTCTCTTCCCGGGGATGGGGAAACACATACTGGGGGGTTTGCTCTGATTTCCCCTTCCAGGACCCCCAGAGTCCCCGCTGTGCCCCACACCGGGATGTCCACAGCACCCCCAGGTCCTGGCAAGGGCCGGAGGGCTGCGGCCATCCCCGAGCCGTGCGCCGGGGGCAAGGACCCTGGCGTGGCCTGCGCCTGCATGGACCCGGGTAGGTGAGGGTGGGCATCCCTCGGGGATTGGGGAGGGGGCTGTGGGGTGCCCCCAACCCAGGGAGGGGGCACGCCTGATGTTTCGGTGTCACCGCTCCGCTGATGCTGTGACCACCCCGGGGCAGGTCCCGACGTGGGCGACAGCAACGTGACACAGGGTGAGGAGCACGTGAGATGGTGATGGGGGGGGGGGGGGGGTGTTTTGGGGGGGGAATGAGCAGAGAGCAGGCAGGGCTGCCAGCTCATGCACCCCAGCTGGGTTTTGGGGGGGGGGGTGTGCGCTTCCCGGCACCCCGTGCCGTGCCGGTGAGCGTGCCACGCCGCCCGCCTTGCAGCCGCTTGCCTGGAGGCGCGGGACGAGGGGCCTTGCCGCTCCTTCTCCCCGAAATGGTTCTTCGAGGGCCCCCAGCCCGGCCGCTGCTCGCTGTTCTGGTACGGGGGCTGCGGCGGCAACCGCAACCGCTTCGAGAGCCGGGAGCAGTGCGAAGCCGCCTGCCTGTCCCCGGGCAGGGCCAGCCCCCCGGCCCCCCACCCCGCCAACACCTCCGCCTGCACCCCTGCGCCCGGCTGCTGCGGCTGACACCCCACCCCACCCCCACCCCCAACCATGGGGGGCTGGGGTGCCTCTGCCCGCCCCCCTCCAAACCTTGGGATGCATCACCCAGAGACGCAGCGCTCGCCCTCTGCAAACCTCGCCCGCGCAGGCTCGGGAAACGAGGACACTTGAATTATTGCACAAGGACCTCGGGGTCCTGCCAAGTTTCTGACAGCTCGTCTTCAGCTGATCCATCATGTGGAGGGGGGGGGGGGGGGGGAAAGAAAGGCTGAGCCGGTGGCGGGGCCGCTGAGCCCTTGCAAAACTCTGCCCACCCCCTGCCATCCCCTGCTCTGGGTGCCCAGGGCTGGCTGGGCAACCCAGGAGCCTTTTAAATAAAAACCACGCCAGGGTTTGTGCTCGCTGGCACAGCTGGGCTGAGGGAGGGTGAAGGTTTTTTTTTTGGGGTGGGGGTAGGTACCCCAGAACCACGAGAGGCCTTGGATGGGTGCCCTGCATCCCGGCCAGCCCCAGCTGCGCTCTCCCTGCGGGGAGCGGGGGCCAAATCCAGGCTTGGGGCTGGTGGCCCCCACCCTGGGACGGCCACGGAGCTGGCGGGAGGCAGCTGTGCTGCTGGCAGGCTCCTGTCCCGGGGGGGCTGCGGCTGTGCTGCTCCATGCTCCCCCCGCTCTGCTCTGGATGCTTGACCCCAGCCAGCATCCCACTCCTAATAACGCCTGATCCTAATAATACTGACATCCCACTCCCAATAATGCCTGATCCTAGTAACACCAGCATCCTGGGTCTAATAACACCTGATCCTAATAATATCAGCATCCCGCTCCTAATAATGTCTGATCTCAGTAACACCAGCATCCCACTCCCAATAACACCTGATCCCAGTAACACCAGCATCCTGGGTCTAATAACACCTGATCCTAATATCAGCATCCCGCTCCTAATAACGCCTGATCCCAGTAACACCAGCATCCCATTCCTAATAATCCTGGTGCTCGGGCGGTGTCCGGTGGCCACGGCCGCCTTCGACACGAGCTGTCTCCAGGAATAGCTCCATAGACCTGATTCTTCCCCTTTATTCAGTTCTGCAGGGTGGGAGAGGATGGAGAGATTTTTGGGGACAGCCTTGGCTGGGGTGGGTCTGGGAGGTCAGGTCAGGTCAGGCCCGTGCAGCCTGGGGGGTGCCTCCCGTGAGACCCCCAGTCTGTCCCTGAGTCTGAAATTCGCCTAAATGCTGCTCAGAGCCTCGAAACACAATTTTTAAGGCAAAAGGAAGCCAGGAGCTGCCGGGAGCCGGGCGAGCAAGGAGCGAAGAACTGGAACGGTGAATTTTGTTTCTTTAAATGTCATGTTTTTTTAAGCTCATTTTTGCACTTGGGTTTGGCGAAGCTGAGAAGACTTAAGTGACAAACCAGCTGTCCCCCGGCGCGGCGCTCGCCCAAGCAGACACCCACCAACCGCCTTCAGCCCGCCCCCCCCCCCCCCCCAGCACCGTGGCTACAGCAGGGATACGGCACCCCACGGTGAAGTGGGGCCCCCCCAACACCCCTCCAACCTCCTCCTTGGCCCCACGGCATCGTGTGGACCCCGGCACCTCCCGAAATTGGGGTGGGTGATGGGGGGTACTGGGGAGGGGCAGCTGTGGAGGTGTGGGTGATGCTCCCGGGGGGATGGAGGGGGCTCCGGCGAGGCCGTGTCGGTCGGGGGGATGCTGCAAGGCAAACCTGGCACTGTGAGGGTGTTGCTGGGGGGGGGGGGTGGGTGGTGTGTCCTCCAGCCCCCCCCAACCACCCCTTTGCGCTCACCCCAGCAAAGTTAAGCCCAGTAGACGGGGACGACACTGCAGAGGATGCTCGCCGTGATGCCCAGGAGGGAGCGATCAGCCAGGGGCACGGCGAGCCTCTTCTCAGCCTGGCGAGGGGAGAGAAGGAAAAAACGAGGCAGCAGCACGATGCTGCACCCCAATTCTTCGTCGAGGGGAGGGGGTGTGCATGAAGCACCGTGCCTGGGGCGTTGCCATGTGCCCCCCACTCCCCATCCTGCCCCAGTCGGGTGGCCGGCACTTACCTGCCGGTGCTGGAAGGTCTCGGTGACCGTGTCCAGCCCTGGGATGTTGTCCTTGTCCACGCGGGTGATGTAGCAGGCGCGGTGGAGCTGGGATCTGTAGCTCACCAGCAGCTTTTTGCAGACAGACGTGGGTCAACTCGCTCTCATCGCCCCTTCCCCATCCCGTCCCCCTCCCTGGACCGCGCAGGGCTCCCCGCTTACATTCTTGTAATCGTAGATGACCATGGCCAGGTTTCCATCCCCGGCATCCAGGTAGAAAGTGGCAGCATCCTCTTCCCAGGCCGGTTCTCTCCACAATCCCATCTGCAGAACCTGCAGGGGGGGTTTGGGGGGGGGGGGGGGGGGGGAGCTCAATGCTTGCAGCAGCCCCTCTCCAGGGAGGGGGTGACGGGGTGGGGGTGTGTGTGTGGTGTCCCCACTTACGGCGTCGGCGTGCCGCTGCTCCGCGCGCAGCCACATCAGCAGGGCGCCGGCGATGATGACCACCAGCAAGACCACCACCACCACCACGATGAGGAGACACTTGAGGTGGTGGCAGCTGAGGAGCTTGCGGGGCAGGTAGCAGAGCAGGCGAGGCACGAAGCAGAGGGACCGCTTGATGCAGCCGCAGCCGGGGCAGCTGGGGCATTTGCAGCACCGGGGTAGGCAACATTTGGAGCAGCAAGTGATGCAGGGCTTGCAGCAGCAGCCCAGCTTGCAGCAGCAGCCCAGCTTGCAGCAGCCCTTCTCCGGATCCTGCGGGCACGGGAAAAGCAGAGAGATGGGGTGAAGGGGGGGATGCAGGTGGGTGCTGGGGGATGCAGGTGCCCCTGAGCTCTGGGGGGATGCGGCATCCCGCGGGCTCTTCCACCATCACACGTGCACTGGCGCCTCGCTGGGATAAACGGGGCAAGAGCCCTGTGCTGAGCATCTCTGCTGGGCACAGGGGTATCCCCAGCGTGACCGTGCCTGCGGGTTGCAGAGACTCACCAGTGGCTCTTCAACCACCACCTGCTTCATGCTGCTCTCCATGGCTGCTTCCTCTTCCTCCTCCTCCTCTTCCTCCTCCTTCTCCCAGCCCGGACTCCCCCACAGCAGCTGGGACAGAGGGCTTTATACTGGGGCACTGGGGTGGGGAACAGGGCGGCCCCTGTGAAGGGGCTCGTGGCCCTGGTGTGCAATCGGGCTCTGGCGTGCCATCCACTTCACTCGTGTTTGCTGATCGCCTTCCCCGGGGCTGGATTCCCCTGGGAACCCGCTGGTCAAGAGGCTCTGAGGACACTTGTCCCCGAGCACGGGGGCCACTCTGCTGCCCCGGAGCGAGGTGTCGGGGCCAAAGCAAACCCTCCTGCACCCCTCGAGCATCCGGCAATAGCCGCAGCCAGGGTGAAACCGGGCTTGGTGCCCGTGTCCCTCGGCCAGCTCGGGCACCTGGAGCTGCTCGAGGTGGGACATCAAAGCTCTCCCACAAACCGCAAGGGTGGGAGTGGGGTCACCCCAGACCGTGGCCAGGCCGGGTGCTCCGTGGGGTCCCAGGGATGCTCGGGCACCGCGGGGGCTCATGTTGCCGGTGCTGGGGCTTTCGGGGCTGCCCACGGTGTGGATGTGCTCAAGGTGAGGAGGGGTCCCAGTTCTGGTGTGTCATCCCGGGTGGCGCAATCAACAGGGCAAGGTGACACCGCTGTGTCTTGGTCTCGCCTGGACATGAGTCTCTCCTGTGGTTGGGCTCAGGCTGGGATGTCTCCGGTCACCCCTGAACCCCTTCCTCAGCCCCCTCGGGAACACAGATGCTTGCAGCCAGGTGTGGGGGTGAGGGTTTGCACCCCATCTTGAACGCTGCCTCCTGTCCCAGGGTGTCGAGGAGCACAGGAGACCCTCGAGTAGCTTCTGGCTGTTTGCTTTCCGACACCACGCCCGGGAGAGGCTGTTGGAGCCCTTACTGTACCCCCTTCTCTTTGCCAGGGTGACCCAGGGGTCAGGGCCAGACTGGGGATTTTGGGGGGCAGAGCTGCTGGCCCCATGTCAACGCATGGCAAAGTTTCCCCCCTGTTCCCAGCAAAGTGTCAGCCCCCGGGGGCTGCGACCCTCCTCGCTGCCCGTGGCAGTGGCTATGGGGACAACCCTGAGTTAGCACCCGTTGAAAGTTTAAATCACACTGCCCAGCACCACTGTGCTCCGGGGGAAGTTGGCTCGGATCCTCCCGGGGCCTTTTTTCCTCCCACCCAGCCTCGATGATCCCCTGTTCTCCGGTGCAGTGCTTGGAGGTGCCCCCCAAGGATGCTCCCGGCTGTTGCTGCTGGTGACAGGGGACATATCGGGGATGGAGGGGAGCCGGGAGCAAGCGGACTGTGGTGTCTGTGGATGCCCTGCTTAGCCCAGGGCTTGGGTCTCACCAGGGATGTGGCACAGTCCCTCTGTCCCCATCTGCACGAGGAGGGGACAGGGACAAGGACCTTTCCCTGAGGGGTGGCCCAGACCCTGCAGGGGTGCCGGGGCTGGCTGGGTGCGCTGCCCATGCCCAGGGGCTGGAGGGGCAGAGCTTTCCCCTGCCATCTCGTCCTCCCTCCGTGCACACTGGGAGGGCACAGGTGGAGACACTGGCCATGCAGCCTGCGGGCATGGGATGCAATTTGGAGGGGGGGTCTGAGCCTTTCTGTGCTCTTCACCCAGGGCTGGACTGAACACGCAGACACAAAGGATGCATTTACCCACGCCGGAGCCCACAAGGAAACATCCCTGGGGCAGGGACACCCTCAGAAGGGCCGTTTGGCCGGCGTGGGGAGGGGGGAAAGACGAGGGCAGCACTCGGCGGCAGGGGCACGAGCTTTACTTTGCAGACAGAAGCGTGAATCCCAAAGCAAAAATCCCACTCATTTATTGCAAGTGCCGTGGGAAAGCCACGGTGCCGAGCGGCTGTGGCTGGAGCACCCCAGGGTGGACCTGGGGAGGAGGAGAGATGCCCGGGCATCCCACCTAGAAGACAACACGGGGACCTTGGGGACACCCCCGATCTCGCTGTCCCGTCCCCCCCTAGAGCCGACCCCCGCCGGTGTTATGCCCAGTATACAGGGACGGTGCTGCAGAGGATGTTAACGGTGGTGCCCAGGATGGAGCGGTCGGCCAGGGGCTCGGCGTTGTCCCCAGCCTCCTTCATCTCAGCCTGCAGGAGAGAGAACAGAGCGGGCTACCCTCCTTGGCCACCAGTAGCCACCCTTCCAGAGGGTGCTTGCCACAAGCCCAGCAGTCCCGCGCTTGCCCCAGGCTGCCCAAGACACAGCCCAGGCTGGCCAGCCCACCCGAGAAGGGTGGCCACCACTCACCTGCCTGCGCTGGAAGGTCTCGGTGACCGTGTCCAGCCCCGGGATGTTGTCCTTGTCCATGCGAGTGATGTAGCAGGCGCGGTGACTCCAGGACCTGTAGCTGACCAGCAGCTTTTTGCGGACAGACCCGGGTCAGCCCAGCCCCGTCCCCGTCCCCATCCCCACCCTCCCCACCGTGCCCCGTCCCCACGGCTGCCCGTGCACCTTGCTGTAGTCGTACACCACCACGGCGGAGGTGTTGAGCCCATCCTGCACAGCGAACGTCCCGGTTCTTTCCTTCTTGCTCATGGAGAGGTGCTGGGGGGTCCCTTCACCATCCAGACCGTGGATGGTCATTCGTAAGACCTGCCAGGCAAAGGTTGGCGGGGGGGGGGGGAGTGTCAGGGAGCTTTGGGGGGGGGGGGGGGTCTAAACCCCATCCTTGCCATTCCCAAACCCGTCTGTGACACCGTCTGTCCCTTCCCCGGCGCTGCCTCACCGTTTCTGCGTGCGTCTCGGTGATGTGCAGCCCCAGGAGGAGGAAGGTGACGATGACCACCGTGAGGATGACCACCACCACCACCATGAGGAGGAGGCTCTTGAGCTGGTGGGGGATGCAGGGCGGGCGGGGGGAGGCGGTGTAGCTCTGGGGACACAGGGGACCACCCGGCTGAGCTGCCGGCGTGGGGCTGGGGGCAACAGCCGGGGCTCAGCCCCACGCCGGCTCCCCGGGGCTGGGTGATGGGTGCTGCTTACCGGGGGTGCCTCCTCCATCAGCGCCTCTTTGGAGCTGCCGTCCATCTCGTCCTCCCTCTCCTTGCAGCTCCTGTCCCTTTGCCAGCTGGAGCCGGGGGATTTATGGGGTGCTGGGTGGGTGGGGGGAGGCGGGGGCCACCCCGGCTGCCAAGGTGCCACTTGTGCTGTTTGCTGAGCCCGGAGAGGAGCCAGGGAGGGGGTATGAAACCTCCGAGGGCCTTTTCCCGGAATTTGGCCGGTGGCACGGGGTGGGGGCCAAGGCAAACAGCGGGCAGGCATGCTCTGACCCAGCCCCAGGCTCTGAGCAAGGACCCAGCCCCCTTAGCGCGCATCCCCGGGGGGGCTGCACCCCTGATCCTCGCAGCCCCGCGCGTGGGCAGCTGCGCAACCCATCCCCGTCCCCCCCCCCCCCCCCCCCTTCCCCTCCCCAGCGTGGGGAAGGAGCTGGCTGGGCTCTTTGTTGGCCGGGAGCACCGTGCCTGGGACGGGAGGGCTGGGTGACCGGTGCCTCCCGCCACCCGGCAGCGCTCCGCTCCCGGTTCAGGCAGGGAACTGGCGCGGGGGCAAAGCAACACGGAGATCCGAGAGGCACCCCTGCAAACCCGCTGCGGGCACCCCAAAACAACCCGAAAACCACCCGGCTCCCAGCTCCCCCCCCCCCCCCCCCCCACCATCCCGGCGTGTGCAGCCCCGTGTTTGCACACCCCCGCGCTGGGACACACACACACACACACGCGCGTCCACGCGGATGCTCACGCTGTCACTCAGCCGCATCCCTCCCGCCCTCCCTCCCTCCTTCCCGCAGCACAGGAGCATGGTGCGCCGCAGAGCAGCGGGTCGGGCGCTGGCAGCCTCCGCTGCCACCATCGCTTCCCCTCCACATTGAAATTTCTGGGGCAAAAGGAGAGGAAAAAGGCTTTTCCGCCGCTCCCGGCCACGACAGGAGGAGAAAGGACCAGCTCCAGGGGGAGAGAGCAGGGCTAGGCCAGGGCGTGATGGAGCTGCGGCGCGGGAGGAGGATGCTGAGGTTCTCCTCCGTTCTCCTCCTCGCCTTGGCCTGGCTCTCGGTGCCAGCGGGGGGTCGGCGGCCCCCCCGGCCCCCCCCTTGCCCCCCGAGCTGTTCGTGCACCCGGGACACAGCTTTCTGCGTGGACTCCAAGGCTGTGCCCAGGAACCTGCCCCCCGAGGTCATCTCGCTGTGAGTACCCAGGCAGTGGAATGAGGATGGGGGGACAGGGTGGTGGTTGGGGGAGGGGGGGTGCAGGTCACATCCCCGGGGTGCAGGGCTGGTGGGGGCTGCTGGGTGACAGGGACGGCCTCTTTCTTTGTGCTGCATGGGGGGGGAAACGCGTGGCGGGTACGGGCAGAGTCGGGGGGGGTCTTTTGGGGGAAGGAGCAGGCTGGGGACACCCCAGGGCTGGTCCCCTCGCCCTGTCCTGCGGCGATGGCAGGTCTCCTCGCACCCGTCAGCGCTGGATGGAGCAGGGCGGCCGTGACCTTGGGGACCAGAGCCCCAAGGGGACACGGCTGGTGGGTCCCGATGCGTGGACCGTGGGGACACGGCAGCACACGGGAGCCTTGCGTGGGTGTGCGCGTGTGTCTTGCATGTACATGCGTGTGCGTGCACAGGCGCTCAGGCCACGGGGTGCCGCAGGGTGTGGAGTGGGTGCCAGCCCCGGGCACCTTGCCCCTTCCGTGCCACCCCCGGCAGACAGGATTGGTGCTGGGGCTGCTCTCTCCCATGGGCTGTCCCTTGCTCAGCACCCCTCCCCGCTGAGCTGCCACGCACCGGGTGACAGCAGGGGTGGTGCTTGGGGGGTGGCGGACCCCCCCTGCTGCTGTCCCCTCTCCTGCAGAGCCCTGAAGCTTCGTTTCGCTGGCAGGACGATGGTGAACGCAGCTTTCACGGAGATCCGAGAGGCAGCTTTCGCCCACATCCCCTCGCTGCAGTTCCTGTACGTCTCCTGTGCTGGTGGCCGGGTGTCCCAGTGTCCCCCATGACCCCAGTGCTGACGTCCCCCTCCCCTGCCCCCCCCCCCCCTTCTCTTTGCAGCCTCCTCAACTCCAACAAGTTCACGCTGATCGGGGACAACGCCTTCGCCGGCCTCTCACATCTCCAGTACCTGTGAGTGGGGTGGGGATGGGGACACTGGGACAGCCCTGGGGGCAGGGGGGTGGGGGGCACGGGGAGGGCAGGGGTGCTGGCAGGGAGCGGTCCCCTCGGGGTGGCCGTGCCACCATCTCCTCCCACCCCAGGTTCATCGAGAACAATGACATCCAGGCGCTCTCGAAGGCCACTTTCCGCGGGCTCAAGTCCCTGACCCACCTGTGAGTACCGGGGGGTCCCGCGTTCCCCGGGGACACGGGGTCCTGCCCCTTCGCTGCGGCCAGGGCTGCATCACCTCAATGGCCCCTCTCGTCCCCCAGGTCCTTGGCCAACAACAACCTGCAGACGCTTCCCCGGGACCTCTTCAAGCCACTGGATATCCTGAGTGACCTGTAAGGCTGTCATGGCACCCCTGGGACACCGGGCTGGGGAGAGGGTGACATCCCAGTGCTCGGGGTTCGGGCAGGGTGCTCTGGGTGCCGAGGGTGACTCGGTGATGTCCTCGGCAGGGACCTCCGGGGCAACACGCTGGCCTGCGACTGCAAGATCAAGTGGCTGGTGGAGTGGCTGGAGAGCACCAACACCACGGTCCCCGCCGTCTTCTGCAGCAGCCCCGGGCAGTTCGAGGGCCAGCGGATCCGGGACTTGGCTCTCGGTGACTTCCAGTGCATCACCACGGGTAAGGGACCTCAGCCACCCATCAGCCCCCCCCATCTCCCGGGCACCCAGTCCCTCACTGCCGCCTCTCCCCACAGACTTCGTGGTGCACCAGGTCCTGCCCTTCCAGTCGGTGTCGGCTGAGCCCTTCACCTACGCCAGCGACCTGTACGTCGCCCTGGCACAGCCCGGTGCCAGCAGCTGCGCCATCCTCAAGTGGGACTACGTGGAACGCAAGCTACGTGACTTCGACCGCATCCCCGGTAAGGCAGCCCGGGCGGGGGTCCCCTCCTGGGCTGTGACCCCCTTCCTCCTCAAATTTGGGGTGATTCGGGAAGGGCACGGCCCCGGCGTGACGCGCTCCTGCCTGGCAGCTCACTCGGCAGTGCACTGCAAGCCCATCGTGGCGCAGGACCAGCTCTACGTGGTGGTGGCCCAGCTCTTCGGTGGCTCCTACATCTACCGCTGGGACACCGCCGTGGACAAGTTCATCAAGATCCAAGATATCGACAGCCAGAAGACCCGCAAGCCCAACGACATCGAGGCCTTCCAGATCGAAGGCGACTGGTACTTTGTCATCGCCGACAGCTCCAAGGCGGGCTCCACCAGCCTCTACCGCCTCAACCAGAATGGCTTCTACTCCCACCAAGCCCTCCACGCCTGGCACCGCGACACCGACGTGGAATACGTCGAGAACGACGGCAAACCCCGGCTGATCATCGCCAGCAGCTCCCAGGCCCCTGTCATCTACCAGTGGAACCGGGCGCAGAAGCAATTTGTGCCCCAAGGGGAGGTGGGGGAGATGCTGGACGTGCAGATGGTGAAGCACTTCAGGGTGAAGCGGGACCAGTTCCTCTGCCTCAGCCGCTACATCGGCGACTCCAAGGTGGTGCGGTGGGAAGGGCAGCGCTTCATCGAGCTGCAGACGCTACCGTCCCGTGGCTCCATGGTGATGCAGCCCTTCTCAGTGGAGCAACGGCAGTACCTGGCCCTGGGCAGTGACTTCTCCTTCACCCACGTCTACCTGTGGGAAGAGGAGAAGCAGAAATTCGTCAAGTTCCAGGAGCTGTCGGTGCAGGCGCCGCGGGCTTTCCGTTACGTGCCGGCGGCCGACGTGCAGCTCCTCCTGGCTCCCAGCTTCAAGGCCAACACGCTGGTCTACCGGCACGTGGTGGTGGACCTCAGCCTTTAGCAGGGAGGCAGAGCCTGGGCTGCCCATACTGGTCCCGGCACGGTTCTTGCCTCCCCCCAACCCCCCCCCCCCCCGAGAGCTGCCCGCTCCTGCCCGCGCACACGCATGCGCCCGCCAGCCCCTTCCTCCTGCCTGCAGCCGACTCTGCCCTGTGATCACGTTCCTGTGTCCTCCCCCAATATTCACCCACCCCTCAAAGCGCCAGGCAGCACCCAGCCCCGCTGCCAGGGGAAGCCATGGGCCTCAGTTTCCCCCTCTATTCCCCCTGGGCAGCAACCCACAGCCACCCCACCCGAGGGATGCGGGCAGGAGGGTGGGACACCCCTCGCCCTGCAGAGAGATGCCTTTGGGTGCCTGCTCTGCGGCGCTGGCAGCGATGGGGGGGACACAGGTGCCTCTGTCTGCTTGGGCAACAGGCTGGAGGCTTGCGGTGGGGAGGTCTGGGGGGAGGGCATGGGAATGGGGCGGCAGGCAGGGAGGTGCACAGGCAGGGCCAGACTGCCAGGGCTGGATGGGATGCTCCCAGGATGATGGGATGCTCAGAGATGGGTGGGGATGGGATGATCGGGGTGGATGGGAAGCTCTGAGGCCAGTGAGATGCCCTGAGGTGGATGGGAATGGGATGATCGGGGTGGATGGGCTGCTCCAAGGCCAGCGGGATACTCCAAGGTGGATGTGGATGGGATGCTCAAGGTGGATGGGTTGCTCCAAGGCCAGTGGGATGCTCCAAAGTGGATGGGATGCTCCAAGGCAGATGGGGATGGGATGCTTGAGGCCAGCAGGATGCTCTGAGGTGGATGTGGATGGGCTGCTCCAAGGTCACTGGGATACTCCAAGGTGGATGGGATGCCCCGAGGTGGATGGGATGCTCCGAGGTGGATGGGATGCTCCAGGCTGGCAGGATGCTGCCGAGGCGGTGCCGCCGCCCACGGAAGCAGGGCTGGCCTTCTCCCGTCCCCCTCCGTGCATGTCCGCCAGTTCCCGTGGCCGGGCAGGACCCCCATGCCAGCCGGACCCGAGGTGTACGTGCCCCCCGAAACGCTCCCCACAATAAACACACTGTGACTCCCGGCCCTGCCTGCGTCTGCCCGCAGCCACCGTGTGCCCAGTGTCCCCTGCCCGGGGGGTCCCGCAGCACCCTTTGCCTTGCACAAACCCCACTGAGCCCAGGAGGGGGGGGAACCCCTTGTTTTAGGGGCCTTCCAGCCCCCACACATGGCTTGCCTGCTCTTTTTTTAGCTGCAGATGCCTCGTCCCATGGGAGAGCAGGAAAGGTGGGGGTGTTTTCCCAGGGAGAGGAGTCCCAGCCCTTGCAGCAGCACCCACGCAGCCGCCCAGCGGGTTTTCCAGGGGAGCATTTCCCTGTCCCCCAGGTATATAAATATGCATGTAAAAAACCACCAATTAAGCTCACAAATAAAGATCCTCTCAAAGGTAACAGGCACCCCGGGGGCACAGCCGGCTTTTGGGAGCAGGGTTTGACCTCACTGGCTCCAGGGCCTGAACTTGGTCCCTTCCCTGGTTGCAGCCCCCGCAGCCGGATCTGGCCCTGCCCTGGGTGCAAGGAAGGGCAGAGCACCCAGCCCTAACCGGTGCCTCAGTTTCCCTACTAAGGAAGGGCAGATTTTGAAAGCCAGGTGGGAAGCACAAGGAGCAGCTGCAGAGGGGTGCTGGCACCCCAACAGCAGCCGTGACTGTTATGGGGGGAGCCAGGGTGCCCTGGACCACTGCGGGGGATGCACAACCAAGGGGAAGGCAGCCCAGGGATGCGAGCTCAGGTTCACTGAGGAGGACTCTCATCCCCATTCTGGTTCCGGGAAGAGGAAGCAGCTTCTATTTTCTCCCGAGCATCTTGCAGGGATCCACGCCCGCCGCAGAGCCCTGGCCCTGGTACAGCAACACGCCTGAGCGGGTGCTTGAGGTTAAAGCGCACATGTAAACCCAGGTGAGGTGCGGCAGGGAGGGGATTTTGCAGCCGTTGAGGCTAAACCCCGCTGAATCACCACGTCAGGGTGGTGCCAGCACATCTGACTGCCTTGGCATGGCCCAGCAGCGCTCCCCGCCCAAACCCCTAGCCCTGACTTCTCACACCCCTGGTATTATGGTGGGGTGCTCAGCATCCCCCATGTTAGGTGCATACCCCACCTGAAAGCAAAACACCCCTCTACAAAAAAAAAAAAAAAAAAAACAAACAAAAAAACCCACCCCCCCAATAAACAAACAAAAAACCCAAACAAACAAAAAAACCTCAGCCAAAACAAAAAAGAAGCTCCCAGCATCATGCAAAGACCTCACTTATTTTCCTTCTTGCCTTAAAAAAAAACAAAACAAAACAAAACAAAAAAAAAAAACCCAAAAAAAAAATACAAACCCAACTATTTTAGTAGGCAGGGAAATAAACAGCCAGGACCCACCGCTCCCAGTGTGGGACGAGACCCTTTTAAGGGCCGCCGTTGCCCTTTTAAGGGCCGGCGCGGCCTTTTTAAGTGTCGGGAACCTCCGCCGTGCTACCGCGCATGCGCAGGGCCGGGCAGGGGGGGCGGCAGCTCTCACGTGGTTGGATTCGTTGGCGGGGGCGGGGGGGGGACCCGGGGAGGGTTTGGGGGAAGGGAGGCGGGGGGGGGGGGGGCTAGAGGACAGTGCGGAGCCACCCGCCCCCGGGTGCCGGGACACGGCCCGGGGCTGCGGGCCCACCCGCGCCATGGTGTCGTGGATGCTCAGCCGGGTGATTGTGTGAGTGGGGGGGTCCGGGGGGGGGTCCCGGTGGAGGGTGGGTGGGTGGGTGGGTGGGTGAGGAGGGGGGTTCACCTGCGGTGGTGCCCATTGAGGGGGTGGGCTGCAGGGTGGGGGGGCTGTGGGGAGCTTAGCGGAGCTGCCCCAGCCAGGAATTTGGGGGGGGGGGGGCTGGGGGGGTGCTGCTGTTGTGCTTATATAGGGCCCCCCCCCCCCCACCCCGGGCAAGTGTCCTGGTCTTGGGGCTACTGCCCGTCCCGGGAGGGGACAAGCGTGGCCTCGGGTCCCTGCAGCGCCTGGGGGGTCCCTGTGTCCAGCACTGGTGTCCCCCCCCCCACCCCTCCCCGAGTCCACTCGCTTTCAGGGCTCCAGCGCTGTGGCTACCTGAGCTGGGTGGCCAGTAGCCAAGCGCGCCTGAGGAGCCCCTCGCGGGGAGCAGGAGGCCTCGCAGCCGCGGGGTGGACAGCACGGAGGGATGGGGGGCACCCCCCAGCCCCATCCCCAGCTCAGGGTAATGATGGGGGGGAGGGGGGGCCTGGCCATTTCCCTCCCTGTAGCCAGGCCAGCAGCGACCGAGCCACCGGGCTACGAGATGCCAGGTTGGGGGACGGCACGGGGGACAACGGGGCTGAGAGGGATGTTGGCACCGGGCTTGGGGCTGTCAACCCCCCACCCCCACCCCCCCTCAAAGTTCCATCACTCCACACAGGTTGGGCCGGTCCCCACGGAGGTGGGCGAGTTCGTGGGAGCATCATCCTGCTCTAAGCGGGGTGGCCCGCTTGCCTCACCCCCCCCCCCCTTCTTCCTTCCAGGCTGGTTTTCGGGATGCTGTACCCCGCCTACGCTTCCTACAAGGCTGTGAAGACCAAAAACATCCGGGAATATGTGAGTAGGGTGCCCGGGCAGCTCCTTCCCGGGCTCCAGCGCCGGGCTGACGGGCTCTCCTGCTCCCCCCCCCCCCCCCCCAGGTCCGCTGGATGATGTACTGGATCGTCTTCGCGCTCTTCATGGCCACGGAGACCCTCACCGACCTGCTCATCTCCTGGTGAGGCTGGTGTGCAGGCACCGCTGCTGTGCGGGGAGAGGGTTATCGGGGGTCCCCGTGCCCTGGGGACCCCATTTTTCCCTCCCCCACTTCCTCTTCGACAGGTTTCCATTCTACTACGAAATTAAGATGGCTTTTGTTATCTGGCTGCTCTCCCCCTACACCCGGGGGGCCAGCCTGCTCTACCGCAAATTCGTGCACCCCACGCTGTCCCGTAAGGAGAAGGTAAGGGCTGCGTGGCTCTAAGTGTGTGTGTGGGGGGGTTTCACGCTGCCGATGCCTTTGGGAGGGGGTGCCGTGGGCGCTCAGCACCGCCGCGGTTGTTTCGGCAGGAGATCGACACGTACATCATCCAGGCCAGGCAGCGCAGCTACGAGACGGTGGTGAGCTTCGGCAAGAGGGGCCTCAACCTGGCAGCCACGGCCGCGGTCCAGGCAGCCACCAAGGTACCGGGAACGGGGCTCCGCTCCCTTTTTTCGGCCCCGGGGACCCCGGGAAGAAATTGTCACCCCGAGCCGTGGGTGGCCTTGGTGGTGCGGGTGGTTGGGAGGAGGGGTCTGTGGTTGCAGAGCCTTGTCCCGGTGGGGTTCCCGGTTTGGGTACCCCGGTGCTTTGGGGTTTGCCCCGTGGGGTTCACTTCCATCCTTTCTGTGTGTGTGTGTCCCCTGCTCCATCTCCTCGCCAAGAGCCAGGGCGCGCTGGCCGGGCGGCTCCGCAGCTTCAGCATGCAGGACCTGCGCTCCATCCCCGACGAGACCCCCGTGCACTACCGGGACCCCCTGTACCTGGAGGAGCAGGAGAGCCACAGGCAGCTGCTGGGTGAGCTGGGGGCGGGGGAGAGGATCACAGTGGTGTTGGGGGGGCTGTTTTGGGAGCTGTTGTGTGCCCCTCCCGTCCCCAGCCTACAGCACGCCCTCGGCCAGCCGGCAGTACGAGAGCGAGACGGAGGATGAGGAGCTCTGGTCGGACTCGCAGGTCTCTCCCAAACCTTCACCCCGCAGCCGGGACCCCAAACCCCTCTCCCGCAGCCGGAGCCTGCGCTCGGCGAGGAAGACGATGCTGAGCAAAGAGGTACCGGGGAGGAAGAGGGATGCGGTGACACGAGGTGGGGACTGAGGAGGGACCTGACCCATCCCTCCCCCCTGCCCAGGGCTCCTCCTGGCTCTTGCGCAGCCCGATCAGGAAGAAAGCAGCTCCGCCAGAGCAGGACAGCTAACGGCCCCCCGGGGAAAACCCTCTGCCAGGAGCCTGAACACCAGTTTGCTGCTGCAGCACCAGGAGGGAGCCACAGTTCGGGCACTCCCAGACTCCCGGGGAGGGGGCTCCCCCCTGCATTACACTGTAAATACCTCCTCTGACCTCTGCGCCCGCCCGGCTGCACTGTGCACCCCTGGCTGCTTCGGGGAATCGGGGGGGCAGCTCACACTACCACACCACACCACACACACACACACACACACACCCCCGCTTCCATTTGTGCCCCCTCCCAGACTCTGCTGTGTGCTGGCACCGGCGCCTCTCCCCCCCCCCCCCCACCGCCTTATCCTCCCTCCCTATGAACATTATGGGTTCTGCTGGGGTCCCCCCCCCTTCTGCTGCCATGATGCCTTACTCCCCACATCCCCTCTCCCCTGAGAGCCAGCGAGGGGACGTGCCTTGTCCCATCTGTCCTCTGAAGCCAAAGACACAGCTCCAGGCTGACACCCCCCCACACTCGAAACCGGGGTGCGAGTGCCTGACCATGCCCTGCCCGGCACCACGCGACTTTTAATATTCTCCCCTCCCAGACAGGGGCTTTTGTACATGGAAAAAATAAATGTTATTTCAGACTTTCAGAAACGGGAGTTGTCCCCTTCCCCACGAGCTGGGGCTGTTGGGGGGGGGCTGTGCAGTGCTTGGTCTCGCTGGCAGGGTGCATCTCGACCTCTCCTTGCAGTAGCCGTGTCCCCCACAGCGTGGCAGCAGCAGCCGTGGCCCCTCTGGGACACCCAGGTCCCCGGCACAGGGCCAGGGCTGCGGGTGGATGTCCCCGTCCTGGCCACCAGCTCCGGCTTGTCCCACGGGCAGCTGCCCCCTCCCTGCCTGGGCTCCCCAGGCTCACCCGAGGAGGGGTCTCCACTCCTTTTGCTCCTTCCCTGGGGGACTTGTCCCCCTGCCCAGGTGGGGCACAAAGCCTCTGTGGCACAGGCAGGGTGGCACGAGGTGACAACGCTGCTGAGATTGCCCCCCCCCCCCCCCACCCCGTGCTCTGCTCTCTGGCATCAATCCCCTTGCTCCCAATCCTTCCTGCTCGCAGGCCAGCTTTATTTTTAGCCCCTGGCTGCTTTCTGTCTTTGAGGGGGGGGGTTGGTTCTTCCCAGGGCAGGGAGAGGGTCTGCCACGGACTGCAGCCCCCCCGCCCCCGCAGGGGAGGCAGCCGCCCCACGGCAGCACGGGGCAGGTGGGGGTTTGGGGGCAGATTAGGTGGAGTTGGCTGGATTAGCCATGTAAAACTGTCTCAGAGACGATTACTAAAAGCAGCGGAGAGGGAAGGCTGGGTGGGGACAGCGCAAGGGGCTGGGGGGCTGCCTGTAATCCCCCTTCCCCCCTCAACCCCTAAAAGCCGCTTAGGGAGTGCAGTTCCTCCAAGGATACGGCCTGGGGCTGAGCTGGGTGGTGGGGTTCCTCCAGGATGGGGTACGGCAGCCCCAGGGCTGGCCGAGTGAGACGGCAGCACCTCCGGAGCCTGAGCATCCTCCATTCCCAGGACGGGAGGTCAGCCCGGACCGCTCCGTTTCCGAGCACGGGGAAACTGAGGCACGAGCGCTGATGCCTTCTAAGCTCGAGCTGGGAAGGAAACCAGGAATCCTGGTGCCTGAGCCTTGTTCTGGCAAGCGTCCTGCATGTTTCTCCAGGGAGAGAAACCCGAGGAGAGGACAAAAAGCTGCCCGGGATGGTCCAAGCCTGTCCGCCCCCCTCCCCGGGGGGCTGAGGCAGCCTGCTCCGATGCCAGCGCTGATCCCAGCTGCGTCAGCTCGGGGGCCTGTGCCAGGCTGCAGTCAGCAAAGCCGTAATCTCCCTCCGCTGGCAGCGCCCCAGCCCAGCAATTATGGGGCTGACCTGAGCTCGCCCGGCCGTGGCCGCAGTCCCCTGTGGGGAGTGGGTGCCAGGGCTGTGCTGGCAGCGGGAGGCAGGGGCTGAGCCCCATTTGGGGGGTGGGTGTGGGTGTCCCATCTCACCCTGGAGCGGGGTGAAGCGTACCCCTGCGGTGCACGGGGGTTGCAGGAGGTCACGTAAACCGGGTGGGTGGGTGGCTCATGTCTCCTGGAAGGCCAGAAAGCTACCGGTGCCCTGGGCTGCACCCAGAGCGGGGTGAGGGAGGGGATTCTGCTCTGGGGAGACCCCCCCCCCCCCTGCAGTGCTGGGGCCAGCTCGGGGGCCCCCAACAGCAGAAGGACACGGAGCTGCTCGAGCGGGGCCAGAGGAGGCCACGGAGATGCTGGGGGGGCTGGAGCAGCTCCCCTGGGGGGCCGGGCTGAGAGAGTTGGGGGGGTTCAGCCTGGAGAAGAGAAGGCTCCGGGGAGCCCTTCGAGCGGCCTCCCAGGGCTTAAAGGGGGGACAGGAAAGGTGGGGAGGGACTCTGGGTCAGGGGGTGGGGGTAGGACGAGGGGTGGCAGTTTTAAACTGAAAGAGGGCAGATTTAGGCTAGATCTAAGGAAGAAATATTTAATGATGTTGGTGGTGGAACACTGGCACAGGCTGCTCAGAGAGGGCGTGGATGTTCCGTCCCTGGAAAGGTTCAAGGCCAGGCTGGATGGGACTCTGAGCAACCTGATCTAGATGAAGATGTCCCTGCCCGTGGCAGGGGGGGTTGTGACTAGGTGACCTTTAAAGGTCCCTCCCAACCCAAAGTATTATTCTACAGCTCCCCCCCACCCCTTCCCGGGGCTCTCCTGCCTGCATCCCTGAGATCTGGCAGGGTGACGGGGTGACGCAGGGCTGTCCTCTCTCCCAGGGGGACGGGGACATCTCTGATGCTCCAGGGAAGAATTATACTAAAGCCCCAGGGCAGCTGGTGCCCCCGGGACAGGCACTGCCCGTTCCCGCAGAGCAGCAGCCTGGAAATGGGATAAACCAATGCCTTGGCCCCACCAAAGGTCACCACTCGGGGGGGGGCAGCAGCCCTGGCCCCCCCTGCCCATGGCTGGCTCTGCTCCCCCCCCCCCCGGGGACCTGCTGGTTGCTTTGTGTGCCATCCTCAGTGCCCTGCTGCACCCACCCCTCAGCCTCCTCCTGCAGCCCCCCCCACCCCGCATTGCTCCCAGGGGCTGGGTACCATCTGAGCCCCCCCAGCCCCAAGCCCTTGGGTTGTCACCAAGCGACACCCCCATCCTCCCCAAGCCCCCCCCGCCTCTTTCCCAGCTCATTTCACCCCCACTGCAGCCAACCTGGGGGCTACCGCCCTTCTGGGTGGGGGGGGGGGGTTGTGTGTGTGGATACTGGTGCCATCCCTGGGGGCTGCCCTCATCCCCCCCCCCCCCCCCCCGCCAAGCCTGATGTTTTGGGGGTCCCTAGCAGAGCAGCACACTCCCACAGGCTGGCCCCTCCATCCAGGGATCTGGGTGTCCCCCTTGTCCCCCTTGGGGTCCCCTCCATCTCCGCCCCCCCCCCCTCCCCAACCCTCGTGTCAGCTGTCGGAGGCAGGAGCCATGTGCGGCCGAGCACACATGGCTCCCCGCGCGGCACGGAGCTGTATTTTTAGCAGACGGTATCAAAAGCATAATTATGTCTGTTGTGGAAGCGCAGCCTCTTTTTCTGGCAGCTTTCAGCCAGCTCCCGCCGCAGAGGGCGACGAGGCACCATGCGGAGTGGCCCATGGGCAGGGGGCTCGGCCAGGCAGGGGCTGAGAGCCCCCCAGTTGCCACCAGGCAGGTAAGACCTTCCCTCCAACCCCCCCCCCCCCCCTCATTCTGGTGGGGGGACACACAGCACAACTCTTGCATCCCCCTCCATTATGTCCTCAAACATACACCTGCCCCCGGGCTGCTTTCACCCCACTGGTGAGGAAGAGGATGGTGGGTGGGAAGCGAGGTGGCAGGAGGGGCCAGGGAAGGGGTGTTCGAGGTGACGGGAGTGTGGGAGGACACAGCTGAAGGAATGCTGCATATCATCCCCCCAGCCGCCTGTCCCCCCCTCCCGGGACCCGTCTGTCCCCTGCCTGCACTGGCACCGAGGACAATTCCAGCTCCGCTTCCCAGCGCTGGAGCCACATCCCTGCCTTGACCCCAGAAGCTTTTGCCTGGGGATTTTTGGGGACCCCGCAGCACCAAGGGAAACTGAGGCACCGCCTTGCTCTGGCAGGAGGAGCCGCACAGGCAGCTGCCCGTCGATTGTGATTTTCTTTTCCCCCATCACCCGCCCGGTGCCGGCCTGCCCATCACCATGGCTGCCCGGCGGCGGGGCGCCCCGGGAGCGCGGTGGGGACAGAAGAGGGGTCCGGGCTGAGGGCAGGAGCCCCCGGATGCTCCCAGGTAGGTGCTGTCAGGACCCGGGCGGGTGGCAGGGGGTGCCCGTGTCCCTGGCTGCCATCCTAAGTCTTTGGCCCCCAGGAGTGAGCTTTTAATTACATCAAGGTATTTGAAGCCGGTTGCTGACGCTGGGCTGGGTAAAAAGGAGTCGGGGGGGGGTGGGGGTGGCACAGGGGGTGGCACAGGACAGGAACTGTGTGTCCCCCCTGCCGCCAGTGCTGGGACAGCTCCTCCTGCCTGTCCTCCCTTGGGGATGGGAAGCAGGGATGCGGGGAAAGGAGCATCCCCCCCCCCCGCTGTGTGTGGGGCTGGCACGCAGCCGTGGGCACGGGGAGAGGAAAAGCGGGGGGAGACACACACAGTGGTGAAGGTGGGTTGGCTGCGGGCAGCCGCGACATCCCCCGGTCCCCCTTTCCACAGCCGGACCCTCCTGATGGAGCCAAACTCTTGCTGCCTCCACCTCTTTGCCCCATCCCAGCCGTCCCCTCGAGAGCTGCCCCGCGGCAGGCGTGACCCCAGTGCTGCCCTCCCTTTGCTGGGGGGGGGGGGGGATGGGTGGGAGGTGCGTGGTGCAGCCCCCCAACCTTGGGGAGGGAGGGGGGAAGGGGTTCATCTCCCCCCCAGCAGCCAAGCAAGCGGGATTAGCGATGTTTACTCACCTTCCCGGGGGGAAAGCGGGCGATTAAGGGTCGGGAGCAGCGGCCGAGCCTGCGGCGGTGGGGCCGTCCCGGCAGCCGGGGCTGGAGGGGAGCGCAGGCTGCCAGAGCAGTTGGGCTGTGGCCCTAATTCCCAGAAAGCTGCTCGTGTGGGAGTGAGTGTCCTCCCGTGCCCTCCACTCCGCCGCAGCCTCCAGGCTCCTGAAGGTTTGACGTGGGGTTTTTTATTTTTTTTCTTGTTTTTTTTTTTTTGCTTCTTTTTAATTTTTTTTTTTTTTTTTTTTTTTTGAAGCACCGGGTGCAGATTAGCAAAAGCTCTCGCGGCCGTTGTGCCTGGTGCTGAGCGAGGGGGGAACGGAGCTGCCTTCTTCTGCCTGTGCCCTCATCTTCCTCACCTGCGCCCTCATCTTCCTCACCTGTGCCACGGTGGAGGCAGGTAGGTGCATGCCGGGCTCAGTGCTGGGGCTGGGAGGAGGAGAAAGGAGGAGGAGGAGGAGAAAGAGAAAGAGGAAGAAGAAGAAGAAGGAGGAGGAAGGGCTAGGGCTCTGTGGATGCAGAGAAAGCTGGAGGGGGCTCTGGGCAAGTGGGAGAGGGGCATGCTGAGTCCATTTTGCATGAGAAAAAGGCTGGCTACCAGGCTGTTTTCCCAGCTAGAGGTGATTTGTGGGTCTGGGGGCTGCGGAGCTCTTCCTCAGGGTGCCTGGAACTGGCCGGAGCATCAGCGCAGAGGGGGGGGCTGTTGGGGTACCAGTGAGCCTTCTGCACCGGGACCCCCGTCCATCCCCCTCCCCGGAGCTGGAGCACCCCGGTGCATCCCCGCCGTGGTCCCAGGGGGACGGCGTGGGGACAGTGTCCCTTCACCCCTCATCCTCGTAGTGTTTCTCCCCATCCTCCAGCACCGAGCAGGGCAGGGATGCCAAGGTTTCTAATTCGGGTGCTTCCGGCCTCCCGCAGCGTCTTTCTGGCCAGCGCTCGGCTCGTGGGTGTTCGCACTCCCTCTGCTCGCCCTCTGATTTAAGGGAAAAAACAGGGAGATTAGAGCTTTGGGGCTGGCTGTGCCAAGCCACCGAGGCAGAGCCTCCCCCCCACCCCGTGGGGGTGTTTTTCTCTCTCAGTAAAGTCTGAGCTGGCAAAATTCAAGCCCAGCCCAGATCCCCCCCTCCCACCCCCTCGATTTCCCTGGGGGACCCTCCGTGGGTTGTGCTGGGACAGGCAGGGAGTGGGGGGGGGGACCCCGGCTGGACCCCCCGCGCCGTGGGAAGCAGGCACGCAGCCCGCTCCTGGGGCGGAGGCGGGATGGTGGCCAAGCCCCAGAAAAGCTTGCCATCAGCGTGGCTACCCCGTGAGGGATGCGCTGGCCCTGGGGGAGGCTTCGCGAGGGCCTTGGGCTCCCCGGCACGGGAGGATGAGCCCCTCCGAGGGCAGCCGGGACAGCGGGGAGGGTACAGCGCCCGGAGATGCTGCCCCAGTGCAGGGTGGGAAAATCCCTCCTGTCCCTCCAGCATCCCCCCTGCTCGTAGCCCTGCCCCGCCAAGGGCTGCCCATGGCCCCCTTTTTGGGGCTTGCTGGCATCAGGGTGGCATGTCCGTCCCTCTCCCCGCCTGGCCCCTTCTCCGCCGCTCCCTCGGCACCGCCGTGATGGTCCCCATCACCCTGGGCACCCGCTGACCCCTCCGGCTGCACTGGGATGCTGCAGACCCCTCCTGGGGGTCCGTGCTGGCTGCCAGCTCCCCCCTTCCCAAACACCGCCCCCCCCCTCCCTCCAAGCCCTGCCAGAGCCACCATCCCTAGGGAGGGAATGGGAAGAGAGTTTTTCTTTCAGCACCTTCTCATCGCAGGAAGGCGCGGGCTCGCCCACGCCCCGAGCCCTGTCTGGGTCCCCTCCCTGTTCCCTGGCACCCAGTGGGTGCAGCGAGCAGCAGCCGGGCTCTGTGCTCCTCCCCCCCCCCCCAAAATCCTCCCCTCTGTGGCAAGCAGAGCTCAAGGGGATCCCGCTGTGGCTTCACCCACGCTGGAGGTGGGATGGGGAGCGGCGGCTGCCCGCCGGCATTGCAAAGGGACCCTGGTGGCACCCAGCACCCCAAGGCACGGCCAGCAAGGGTTAACCATGGCTCCTGCCTTCCCAGCGGGGCCAAACCGCTCGGCAGCTGTAACGAAGCCCGTGGTCTGATGTTTAATCACGCTGCTCGGCTCACGCGGGCCGTGGCCTGCCGTCACCCCAGCACCCCGTGCCCCCCGCCAGCCCCCGGGGGGCCGAGCCGTGCTGGGGGGAGGCTGTGCGGAGCAGCTGCGGTTTATGTAAGGCGTGCAGGGTGTCCCTGGGACACGCGCGCCTGTTACATAAACGCTACTGGTAGCAGCCCGTCTTTTACTGGGAGCCCAGAAATGGGGTGCCCACCTCGGGGAGGTGGGGGGGGGGGGACGGGACACACAACCCCCTTGGGGTGCTGCTGACCCGTGCACCCGGCTGGAGCATCGCCCTCGGGAGCGGGAAATGGGGTGGTGGGAGCTGGTGGGTTTGGGGTCGGTGGCTGGTGGGGAGCACGGGCAGGGTGATGGGGCCCGGCTGGGGTGTGTGCAAGCCCGGTGGGCTGCAGGGTGGGGGTTGAAGTGGCCCCATGTACCCGTCGGGGTGCTGTCGTGCTCTGCGTTAGCCCCTCGGCACCCCTTGGATCCCACCCGACTGCTGGGGGCTCCGCAGCCAGGAGGGGAGGCAGAGGAGCTCTGCCTTCACCCCAGGCGGCTGGAGGAGGGATGGTGGCAGGGGGACCCTGGACTGTCGCACAGATTGAGGCCAGATCCTTACTATTTGGGCAAAACCGAAGGGGTCGTGAGCTCCTGGGACCCCCCCCAACCCATGAGGCGGCCGCATGCTCCGTGCCAGGAGTGTCGCTGCCATCCCGCCGCCCCAACCCTGGTCCCAGGACGCTTGGCCCCTTCCCGGGGTCTCTCCCGTTCCGGATTCACGGGCGGCCGGCATCTTTCATCGGCGACGGGGCGGCACGGCCGGCGTTGCCGAACAAAGGGCGCTTTCTTCGCGCGGGGCGCAGAGCACACCTGCCCGCCTTGGCACCCCCGGGGTTGGGTGGCACACACACCTCCCCCCCCCCCCCCCCTCCAGGCACCGTGCCGGTTCCTGGGCGTCAGCAGCCGCCCTCTCGCCCGCCCAGTCGCTGGGGGAACCGGCGGAGGCTGCGCGCTGGCGGGGAGCAGAGCCCTCGCCTCCTCTTGCCGTCGCTCGCCCCAAGATGCTCAAGGCTGCCTAGAGCCGGGGGAAGATCCTGCTCGCCGCCGCTCCTTTGGGTACCCCTCGCCCTGATTTCCCCCCCCCACCCCAGCACGCCGGGACCCCCCCACTCATAGGACAATAAGAAGCACAAAGCCCCCCCAAACCAATGGATCAAAAACTCCAGCTCCAGCATTCGGAGAAGAACGTCCCCAGGGCCACCCAGGCGGCTTTTTGCCTCCTTCAGATCCCGGAGCCGGACCCCTTCAGCCTGTGGGTCTAGTTGCTCCCCCCCCACACACACACGCACCCCCCCAACACCCCGGTTTCGCCTCTCCGGGACCCGGTGCCGCCGGCGGAGTCACCCGCTCGTCCTCGCTGCCGCAGGGGAGGTGGCGGGGTCCCCGATGGACCCTCCAGGTAGCTGGTTGTGGTGTGGGATGCTCGGTGGAGCTGCGGGACCGGCTTCTTCTGCTCTGGCTGGGATGAATGGGCAGGGGAGAACACCCCTGGGGGGGTTGGGGGCACCCCAGGGGTGCCCTCTGGGGCACCGGGAGGGACCTGTGCTGGGAGCAGCTTCTCAGTACTGGGGAGGGTGGGTGGGAGAGCCTGGCTGGGTCCTACGCCCTGGAGGGAGAGGGGTGAGTATGCCCAGGGTGCCCCCACACCCCAAGGTGTCCATCCGTTCCGTCCCCCCCCCGCAAGGGTGTCTCTGCTTGGGCAGGGTGTCCCAGGGTGCTTCCCAAGCAGGGGGAGCAGTGTGGGAATGGGGGCTTTGACCTCCCCGGGGAAGGGGCCGTGGGGGGGACAGGCGCCTCTGGGGACACACATCGGGGTGGCTCCGTTCTCCCCCCCAGCAGGGCTGCGATTTTGGCTTGGGGCTGGGTGACCCCAGTGCTTGTCCCCCTCTGCTTCTCCGGCTGCTGGGCAGGGAGGGCTGCGGGGGGGGGACACACACAGCGGGTGACATTTATTGCGCCGGGAAGGGGTGTGATCGCCAGCTGCTCCGGGGACTGGCTCTGAACCCCACGTCTGTGTGTGGCCTGGGTCCCCGAGGAGTGTTAATCCAGCAAATCCCCCCCCCCGCCCCCCGGCATTTCTACCGGGAGGGGCCTTTGGGAGCTCCCCCCCTCTCTCCCCCCCCACCTCATTGCAAACCCTCCTGGGAAGTGCAGCCCAGCCCTGGCTGGAGGCAAATACCTGCGTGGGGCAAGGCCTCCCCACGCTGGGTGCCAGCGGCCGGGCGTGGGGCCAGGCTGGGCGTGGAGAGACGGGTGGGCGCGAGGTGTGTCCTGGTCGCCAGCCCCACCACCACCCCCCCCCAGGCTGTGGGCAAGGAGGGGTGGGATGGGGTGGGGGACCCCACATTCCAGCCACGTGCCCTCCCCGGATCGTGCATCCCGCGGGGCACGGGGGATCCCGGGGTCCCCTCACTGTGTTGGGGAGTGTCCCATCCGGTATGGGAGGATGGAGCTGGAGGGGGGGCGGGGGGTGTGGGGGTTGAAAGCAGCCCCCCTCAATCCCTGTGCTCTGCCTGCAGGGTCCAGCCAGCCTGGGACGGCGCTGAGCACCACATGAGCGGCAGGAGCAGCATGGCCAGCGACACGAGGATGGGGGAGACCCCACCGCGATGGAGGAGAGCCCAGGAGGACGCCCCAGGGATGGAGAGCAGGGGGATGGTTTTACCCCAAAACGCCGAGCTGGGACTCCCAGGCTACCCAGAGCCCGGCAAACTGAGCTACGGAACGGAGAAGGGGTGTCCCTGGAAGGGCTCCAAGGGATTTTTGGGGTCAGGCAGGGAGCTTGCCGGTGACCGGCTGGGCTGCCCCTACCCACCGGCCGCACCGTGCCTGCGGGACGCTTTGTGCCGCCCCAAGGATGGAGCCGAGCTCCCGCCGCTGCTGCCGCCGCCGCCCAGGAACGGGCAACCCAAAGCGGGCTGGGCTGAACCCTGCAAGGAGCACCCGGGGCCACGGTGGGCTGAGGCCTGTTCTGGCCCCCCTGGCCCTTTACAGCCACGCATACCACCGCTCCCCCCTGCCCTTCCCCGGGACGGAGAGCCAGCGCCCTGACCCCCCCGGCAAGCCCTGCGCTGCCACGGGGGATGGAGCCGGTGACCCCCGGGCTTTCCGCCACTGCCCCTTCCTCCTGTCCTCTCTGCTGCCCACCGGACCCCCCGCTGACCCCCCGTTTGGCAACGGGGGACCAGAGGGACCAGGGGCAATGGGTGACGGGCGTCTGGCTGGCATGGACTGGCGCCTGGGCTCCTACGCGCCCACCTGGGGCCACCCCCTTTATTTGGGGGTCCCATCGAGGTGCAAGGCGGCTCCGAGCCCCTTTGACGACTGCTCCAGCTCAGGGAACAAGGTAGGCAACCCCGGATGGCTCTAGCTCTGGAGCGGGGATGCTCAGGGCTCCGCGCCCCTCCCTGTGCCCCCCAACTCCCTGGGGTGATAGCGGGCTCCAGCCTCTGCTGAACCCGGTTGGGAGCGGTGGGTTGCGAAAGGCGATGCCGGCACCCACGCCCATGGCAGCGAGCAGGATGCTGCCCACCCCCCCCCCCCCCCCAGATTGCTCCTGCAGCTTGGCCGGGGGGGTGTCCCAGCTCCCCCCCCACCCCCCAGGGATGGGGCAACGTGCTCCTGGGGAGGTGGGGGGGGGGGTGGGAATGATGCAAGCCCCCGGGCTGAGTCACGGAGGTGGCGGGAGGCAGAGCCCGTGGGTGCGCCCGTCGCGCCCCGTGCCGCTGCGGCTCCCCATTCCTTTCCCACGCGGGCAGGGGTGACAGGGGCACCCCACGGGCTCGGCCAGCTGGGGCTGGAAAGCACTGGGCAGCTGCCCAGCTTGGGAGGGGGAAACTGAGGCAGGATCATGGGATGCTCCTCCTCACCACCTCTCAATGATGGAGGCGGGGGGACAGCGGCAGGGATGGGGACCCCCATCTGGCGTGACACCAGCCTTGACAGCCCCTCTGCACCCCTCCAGGAATTTTACCCGAAGAAAGATCCCATCTTCCACCCCCCTGCTGAAGACCAAGCGCCGTCGCAGCTGCTGGGCAAAGGCCAGGCAGGGGAGGATGGAGATGGGGAGGGGGTGCTGGCGGTGCCGGAGCTGTCGGGAGTCCCGGGAAGGGATGGCCGAGCGGGGGGAAGCTCGGTGGTGCCCGCTCCCCATGCCCACACGCCTCCCCCCGGCTCCAACCACCCCCTCTTCCTCCCACAGCCCGGCACAATGAGGGGCTGCGGGGGTCCCTGGGTGGGCGCAGAGCCCCACGCCACCGATTTCCCCCCGGAGCCGGGGTCAGGCTGGCCCTCTGAGCCCAAAAACAAGCGCCTGGCCTGCCAAAACCTCCAGCCCGGCTCACCGCCGGGATGCAGGGAGCCCGACCCATCGCCTCCACTCACGGATGGGCAATACCTGCCGGCCTTTGCCAAACCGGGGCCGACCCCAGCTTGCCTCTGCACCGCGCCGGGCTGCGATGGGTGCCCAGGGGTGGGCTATGGGGTGCTCAGCCCCTTCGAGCCCACCCTGGGCATCCCCGGCGGCCGTTTTCCATGCCCACCCAGCCACCACACCAAACTGAAGAAGACCTGGCTGACGCGGCACTCGGAGCAGTCGCTGCCGCAGTGCAAGGCTACCCGGCGGGACGGTGGCTACGAGCCGGCCGGCGAGGGCAAGCGCTCGGCCAAACGCCCGCACGGGCCCCACTGCTGCTGGCGAGGATGCTGGGGTGGCCAAACGGGGCTCAAAGGCCACCAAGGACCTGGCCATGGCACAGCTGGGTGATGGCACTGAGAGCGGGGGGGACCCAGGAGGAGAGGAGGATGGAGCTGGCAGAAGGAGGTAAAGTGGTGGGGTGCACGGCGGGGCTGGAGGGGGGGTGGAGGCAGCACCCCATTCCCCCGGGGGATTTTTGGGTCCTGGTTCCCTGCGCCCACAACACGAGCCGTGAACACGTGAGGGCAGGGAAATCTGCTGCGTTCGGGTTTTTCCCGGGCTGGCAGCAGCTCCCAGGGTGGGGGTGTCTAGAAATGTCCCTTTGGGGCAGCGCAGCACTCTTGGGTGTCATACCTGGGTGTCGCTGGGTCATCGCCCTCCTCGGGGAGGTACCGGCATCTCAGCCCTGACCTCTTGCAGATCTCCAGCCCTACTTTCCAGCCCTACTTCCTGGCCCAGTTTCCACCCCCCCGTCAAGGTGTGCCAGTCCCTCCCCGTCGCTGTGTCCCCTTGCACAGGGTGTCCCAAAGCACTGGCCTGTCTCCCCCCCCCCCAGATCCACCGAGCCGTGTCGGCCCGGAGCCGCGGTGCCTGCAGAGCGTGCCCTGCACCGCCCTGCCCGAGAGCATCCCGCGGTGCTGTGCCTGCGCTGCCCGGGCCGGGGGGGACCCCGAGGGGGAGGAAGAGGAGGAGGATCCCCCCGAAAGCACCTGCAGGCTGCTGCACTTCCGCAGGTGAGCCCTGGGGATGCGTGTTGGGGGTGCATGGAGCACCCTCTCTCATCACCCCGCTCCAGAGCATCACCTCCCTTCACCCCACTTGGGAGCACCCTCTTCTGTCACCCCACTTTAGAGCATCATCTCCTATCGCACTGCTTTAGAGCACCCTCTCCTGTCACCCCACTTTGGGGCATCCTTTCTCATCACCCCACTTTAGAGCATCATCTCCTATCGCACTGCTTTAGAGCACCCTCTCCTGTCACCCCACTTTGGGGCATCCTTTCTCATCACCCCACTTTAGAGCATCATCTCCTATCATCCCGCTTTAGAGCACCCTCTCCAGTCACCCCACTTTGGAGCATCCTCTCTCATCACCCTGCTTTGGACCACCCTCTTCTGTCACCCCACTTTAGAGCATCGTCTCCCATCACCCCGCTTTAGAGCACCCTCTCCTGTCACCCCACTTTAAAGTACCCGCTCCCATCACCCCACTTTAGAGCACCCCCTCTCCTGTCACCACGCTTTGGATCATCCTCTCTCATCCCCCTGCTTTGGACCACCCTCTTCTGTTACCCCACTTTAGAGCATCGTCTCCCATCACCCCGCTTTAGAGCACCCTCTCCTGTCACCCCACTTTGGAGTGTCCTCTCTTATCACTCTGCTTTAGAGCATCCTTTCCTGTCACCCCGCTTTGGAGCATCCTTTCTCATCACCCCACTTTCGAGCATCCTTTCTCATCACCCCACTTTCCAGCATCCTTTCTCATCACCCCATTTTAGAGCATCCTCTCCCGTCACCCCACTTTGAAGCACCCTCTCCTGTCACCCCTCCCGGTCCCTCTCTCCCGCAGGTTTGCCTTCGGGGCCGGCGGGGAGCTGAGCGTCGATGGTTTCTGCACCCTGGGGGAGGCAGAGGGGGAAACGCTGGGGCTGGAGGCAGCCGGCCCCGAGCTGGGGCAGCAGCAGCCTCTGCCTGGCTAAATATTTACTGGGGGTCCTGGGGGACCCCTTCTGCGAGGCCTGTCCGCAGGGACAGGGACACATGGCTGGGAGCCCCTGGCGGGCCCGAGGGTAAGTGGGGACCGGGGCGGGGGGGGTGGCACTGGGAGCACTGGGGAGGCTGAGGGCTGTGTTTCCTGCAGGGGTGACAGCCTGGAGGCGGGGGGAAGGAGCCCCCCAGCTCTGTGACGCCTGCCAGCGCGGCTTCTTCAACTCCCACTGGAGCTGCGCCAGATGTGGCTTCCAGCTGTGCCCCGACTGCCACCGCAGCAGGCGGGAGGCTGGTGGCCACGGTATGGGGACCTGGGGGGGGTTGGGAGGGGGCTTGAGAAGGGGGTGTCATCCCCCACGGGGGCTTGGAGGGGACAAACGCACCCTGTCTCCGACGTAGAGGGTCCGGCGTGGCCACCTGAGTGCATCCCCGGGCGAGACCATCACATCACGTCCCTTGTCCCCACGCAGTTTGTCCCCACCCGTGGTGAGTGTGTCCCCATGTCCCCCCCGTGACAGCACCCCCCCCCCCCCCCCCCGTGACACCCCCCTGCCCAGGGCTGACCAGCTTGTCTCCATCTGTCCCCAGTTCTGACCAGGCTCTGGGAGCTGCTGCACGAGGTCCGGGTCAAATTCGGCATCGAGTCGCACTGTCCCTGCGGGGGGGGGCGTGCAGAGCCCCCTGGGAGCAGGCAGGTATGGGGGGGGGAGGGGGGGGGAAATGGGTGCAGGAGCACCCCAACCCCTGAAACAGGGTGTCTGGGGGGTGGGGGGGTGTGGATGATGCTGGGGAGGGGACCGGCTGTGGGGATGGGGGATGTGGGGGTGTCCCCCCCTCCCCTGATGCCCGTATGGATTGGGGTGTTTCAGGAGCCGACGGGGGCTGCGATGGGGACCCCCCTGCCCAGCAGCGATGGCCAAGCTGACACCTCCCAGCCCATCCAGGAAGGTAGGGCCAGCTATGACCCCCCCCCGCCGCTGTGGGGGGGGTCAGGGATGCTGCACCCCATCCCTTACAGGGTGCTGGGGGGGGAGGGGGGAGGGCGGGTTGAGAGGCAGCAGAGGACACGGGCAGCCCTGACCCCTCTCTTCCCCCGAGCAGAGGGCCTCAGGGGGGGGCCACCATCACCGGGGCATCCCCCTCCCGGGGGGGCCGTGCAGACCACCACCCTCTGTGACCTCCTGGCCTCCACCGCCGTCAAGCTGTGCCTGGGGCAGGACGGGGTGCGCATGGCCTTCGCCCCCGTTTCGCCCGCCTTGCCTAGCGTGAGTCCTGGGGTGCCCCCCCACACCCCCCAGCACACCCCTCAGCAGGACTGAGGTGGGGGGGGGGGGCCAGGGTGGGTTGATGGGGCCCCCCCCCCCCTTCTCCAGGACAACCGCCTGACCAGCATCCTGGACAGCATCATCGCCCGCGTGGTGGAGAGGAAGATCCAGGAGAGGCAGGCGGGGGGGGGCGAGCTGACCCCCCCCGGCCCCCCTGACCCCCCCACCTCCCACTGCATTCTGGCACCCAGCGGGCTGCTCTGGCTGCATGACCCCGGCCACGCCAGCAACTACAAACTCTTCCAGGAGCATTGGCGGCGGGGCCAGGTGGGTGAGATTCCCCCCCCCCATCATATCCCAGGGATGCACGCTGGCATCGCAAACACCACCCCCCCCCCCCAAAATCCACCCCCGCCACCCCAGCTCTGCTAAACCCCGGCTGCCCCGGCAGCCTGTCCTTGTTTCAGGGTTGCAGAAGCGGCTGGAGGGGCGGCTGTGGGGGCCGGAGTCCTTTTGCCCGGCGCGGGGGGGAGCGGGCGGTGGAGGCGGTGAACCTCCGGGCACCACCGGGCCGAGTCAGGATGAGCAGCCGGGAATTTTGGGACGGCTTCGCCGCCAGCGCAGGTGGGGGGTGCGACGAGTTTGCGGGGTCTCAAGGGCAACTCTGGGGTTGTAAAAGGTGGGAGGTGGGAGGGGAGGTGGGGGGGGGGGGGGGTGGGGGGGGGGCAACCTGTGCATCCCCGCGTGTGACCCATCCCGCAGCATCGACGGAGCAGGGTGGTGGGGACCTGCTGAAGCTGGAAAGTGGCTTTGGGGACATGGAGCTGTGCCGGTAAGTGACAGCAGAGGCTTCCAGCGGGGCGGAGGGGGGGGGATCCCAGTATGGGATGGAGCGAGCAGGGTTTGGGGGCAGCGGGGGTGGGCTCTGCCAGCGCCGGTTCCCGGTGCCCGCGGACCTCAAGCACGGCGCCTGCCGCCACAGGGCCACCAACTTGAGCACCAGCTTGCCACTGCCGGAGTATTGCGGGCCCGCTGGCCGCCTCAACCTGGCTACCTACCTGCGGGGCCGGCGCTGGCTGCGCCCACGAGTCTGCGTGGCTTACGGTGAGTGCCGGCAGCACCGCGATGCTCGGGGGGGGGGGGGTGTGCGTGTGTGGGGGGGTGTAAAGTGGGGGGCTGAGCTGAAGGGAATGGAGGGCGGGGGTGTGTGCGTGTGTGTGTGTGGGGGGGGGTGTGTGTGTGTCCCCCCACCACCCATGACGATTCTCACAGGCGTCCATCCTCAAGACCGGACCATCGGGACCAAAAATCTGACGGTGGAGGCGGCCGATTCCATCAGCGTCCTGGTGCACGCCGCGGCGCGGCTGCCCGAGTGGCCGGCGGCACGGCAGGGTAAGGTGGGACCATAAAGCGGGGGGGCACCTCCACCCCACTTTGTCCCCTCCAACGGCCCCCCCCCCCCCCCCAGCATCTTAAGCACCCCTTTGCCCACAGACCTGCTCCTCCAAGCCGATGCTGATGGCGTGGACACGCCGCTGAAGGAGCGGCTCTGGGATGCCGGCAGCCGGCCCGGCGCCCTGTGGCACATCTTCCGTGCCGAGGATGCCGGCCGCATCCGGGATTTCTTGCAGAAGGTGGGTGCCATCACACCCCCCCCCCCCACCCCGGCACAGCCCCTGGCCTCAACCAGCCGCCAGTTCTCCTCACCCCCCCTCCTCATACACATCCCCCCGCAGATGTGTGAGGACCAAGGGCAGGAGGGGGCGGCCACAGGCGGAGCCCCCCGGCCGCTACCTGGACCTCTCGCTGCGGAGGCGGCTGCGTGAGGAGTGTGGGGTGAGCGGCTGGACCCTCCTCCAGTTCCTGGGGGACGCGGTGCTGGTCCCCGCCGGGGCTCCCCACCAGGTCTGCACAAAACACCCCCCCCACACACACACACACCACCAACCCCTGCGGGCAGCTCTTTGGGGTGCAGCTGTGCCAAAGGCCCCCCTGGGGAAACTGAGGCATGGCTGAGCCCCCCCCCCCTCTACCCCCCACCCTTGACGCCGCTGTGCCGTGGGGCAGGTACAGACCCTCACCGGGACCATCACCGTGGAGCAGCGGTTCCTCTCCCCCGAGAACATCACCCGCGTCCGGGACCACAGCACCCACCTCCCCGGGGCCGCCCCCCAGCTCTGCGCCCAGGTGGGTGGGTGCCGGTGTGTGTACTGGGGGGGAGGTCAGCACCAACCCCCCCCCCTTCACACCCTCCTCTTTGCACCCTTGAAGCTGGACGGCGTGATCTTCTCCGCTGTGCGGGAGGCCGTGGGAGTCCTGCGAGGCTGCAAGTGAGGCGGCCGCGGCACGCCGGGAGGATGCTCGGCCCAAACCGGGGCCACGGGGCTGCCCCTCGCCGGGCGCTTTGCTCCGCCGTCACCCGAGGAGGCTCGGGGCAGCCGGGGAATAAAATCTGCAACGTGCCAGGGCCGCCGGCACCACCAGCACCCGCCTCGGCGTCTCTCTCCTGGGTGTCAGTCGCCCCCCACCCACAGTCACGGAGCTCCCCGGTCGTCCTGGGGATTGGGGGGGGGGGGGGGTGGCTGGCAGCATGTCCCGGTGGCTCCCAGCCCTTGGCGACTGGCTGAGGACACCGGTGAGATGAGTTTGTCGCGGTCTCTGCGCTAACCGGGAGCTGGAAAACATCTGGAGGCGGCAGCTGGTCCCTGCGCAGAGGTTTGGGGTCCTGGGGGGGGGGGGGGGGGGGGCTCCATCCTGCTCTGCACCGGGGTGCAGGGGGGGCTCTGCTCTGCTCTGCTCTGCTCAGGACCGGTGCCTGGAGCTGCACCCTCCCCAAGGAAAACAGGGGGAGTGTGGGGGGAAAGGGGGTGCCCCCCCCCGCTATTGGGGGTGCGACGTTGCACCCCGCGCTGCGCCAGGCGCTGCACAGCACCAGCAGCGGGCACAGCAGGATAGGGACCAGGGGCCGCGCGCTGGGCAATTAGCGCCGTGCAGCGGGCAACCGCGCCACGGGCAACCGCGCAATTAGCCCCGCGCAATTAGCCCCGCGCAATCAGCACGCTCCGCGCAACCTGCGCGCCCCGCCGCCCACGTCTCCTCCCCGGCCCTTTAAGGCCAAGTCCCGCCCCGCCGCCGTGCGGGGAGGTGGCGGCACGACTAACCAATGGGAAGCGCGCTGGCCTGGCGGGATGGCCAATGGGCGGAGAGCGGGGTGGGCGGGGGCCGAGCGGCGGAGCCCCGGGACGCGGTGAGTCCCCCAGCGCATGCGCGCGGGGAGGGGCGGGGGGGGGTGCCCCTTACCTTTCCCTCCTGCACCCCCAACCCCCCCCGGTGCACCCTGCGCCCACCCCCCCCAAACCCCACCCTTCCCCTCACTGCACCCCGCACCCCCCCACCCCAGACCCTTCCCCTTATTCCACCCTGCGCCCCAACCCCCCCCATTGCACCCTGCAGCCCCCCCAAACCCTTCCCCATTGCACCCTGCAGCCCCCCCAAACCCTTCCCCATTGCACCCTGCAACCCCCCCCAAACCCTTCCCCCGTTGCACCCCGCAAACCCTCGCCCTAGTGCGCGCCCTCCTCTGCTGCTGCACCCTGCAGCCCAGCACCCCCCCCCGCACCCCGCTCTCCCCCCCACCTTTCCCCCTATGCACCCCATACTCCGACCAGCCCTTCCCCTATAGCGCCCTGCAGTCCAGCACGCCCTGGCCCCCTCAACCTGCCGCATCCCCCCCCTGCTCCAGCCCCCCCTGCACCCCCCAGCCCAGCGAACCCTTCTCCTACCCCACCCCAGGCATCCCCCAGTCCAGCCGCCCCTTTCCCCCCACCGTCCCCCAGTCCAGCCGCCCCTTTCCCCCCAGCGTCCCCAGTCCAGCCGCCCCTTTCCCCCCAGTGTCCCCCAGTCCAGCCGCCCCTTTCCCCCCTCCCTCCTCCAGTCCAGCAAACCCTTCACTTATTTCAGCTTCCCGTGCGTCCTGCAGTCGAGCCAGCCCTTCCACTACCGCAGCCCCCCCCGCATCCCCAGATCCAGCGACCTCTTTCCCTACAGCCCCCTCTACACCCTGCAGTCGAGCCAGCCCTTCCCCTACTGTGCCCCCCCATGCCTCCCCCAATCCAGCAAGCCTTTCCACTACCGCAGCCCCCCCCGCCTCCCCAAACCTAGCGACCCCTTTCCTTACTATTTCCCTTCCTACACGCTGCAGTCGAGCCAGCCCTTCCCCTCCTGCGCCCCCCTGGGGGTCCCCCAATCGAGCAGACCCTTTCCCTTCTGCACCCCACCCTGCGTCGCAAAGGCCACCGAGCTCTTCCCTTGCTCCGTCCCCCCCCAGCCCAGCGCACCCTTCCCCTCTTACACCCCTCTCCACGTCCCCCAGTCCAGCAAGCCCTTCCCCTCCAGCACCCCGCAGTTGCTGGGGGACCCCTTCCCTGCACTGCACCCCGCAATCGCCGGACCCCCTCCCTCACCGTTCCCTCCAGCCCAGCCAGCGCCGAGGCTCCCTGCCCCCCCGCTTGCATGTCTGGGGGGTGCCCTCCCCACCCCAAAACCCCGCTACCCCCTGAGTGGGTGCCTGAAGTCTCTGCTCCCATCCAGCCCGCGGGGACTGCGCCCCCCCCCCCCCCCCCCCCCCCCCCAAGTCCCATGGGGGAGCCCCCGGCAGCGGAGCTGGATGCGGTGCTGGGCGGCGGCGGCTGGGATGTGGGGGTGAACTTCGAGGGTCCCCCCCCTCCCACCAGCCCCATCCGCCTGGGGAGGAACGCCTGCTACGTCGTCCTGGCCGTGCTTTTCAACGAGGAGGTGAGGCAGCCCCCACTCTGTGGGACCCCCCCCCCCCCACACACACCCCGGGTGGCACCCGACGCCCACCCGACCCCGCTCCGTCCCCGCAGGACCGGGTGCTGCTGGTGCAGGAGGCCAAGCCCGAGTGCCGCGGGAGGTGGTACCTGCCCGCCGGGAGGATGGAGCCCGGCGAGGGCATCGTGGCCGCCGTGAGGCGGGAGGTGAAGGAGGAGACGGGGCTGGAGTGCGAACCCCTCACCTTGCTGGCGCTGGAGGAGAGGGGGCCGGCCTGGATCCGCTTCGCCTTCCTCGCGCGCCCCACCGGTGCGTGCCCCTGCGCTTGGGTGCTCCGAGGGGGTGCGGGGAGGACGCGGCTCAGCGGGAGCATCCCCCGCCAGCCCCACGGTGGGCATCGGTGTCCCCTGACACCTTTGTGCCAGGACATCGGTGTCCCCCTGCCAGCCCCGCGATGGGCATCGGCGTCCCCTGCCAGCCCCGCGATGGGCATCGGTGTCCCCTGACACCTTTGTGCCAGGGCATCGGCGTCCCCCGCCAGCCCCGCGATGGGCATCGGCGTCCCCCGCCAGCCCCGCGATGGGCATCGGTGTCTCCTGACATCTTTATGCCAGGGCATCAGTGTCCCCCTGCCAGCCCCGCGATGGGCATTGGTGTCCCCCTGCCAGCCCCGTGATGGGCATCGGTGTCCCCCGCCAGCCCCGCGATGGGCATCGGTGTCTCCTGACATCTTTATGCCAGGGCATCAGTGTCCCCCGCCAGCCCCGCGATGGGCATCGATGTCCCCCCGCCAGCCCCGTGATGGGCATCGGTGTCCCCTGCCAGCCCCGCGATGGGCATTGGTGTCTCCTGACATCTTTATGCCAGGGCATCAGTGTCCCCTGCCAGCCCTGCGATGGGCATCGATGTCCCCCCGCCAGCCCCGCGATGGGCATCGGTGTCCCCTGACACCTTTGTGCCAGGGCATCGGTGTCCCCCCGCCAGCCCCGCGATGGGCATCGGTGTCCCCCCGCCAGCCCCGTGATGGGCATCGGTGTCCCCTGACACCTTTGTGCCAGGGCATCGGTGTCCCCCCGCCAGCCCCGCGATGGGCATCGGTGTCCCCCCGCCAGCCCCGCGATGGGCATCGGTGTCCCCCGCCAGCCCCGTGACGGGCATCGGTGTCCCTTGCCAGCACCATCACCAGTACTGGCATCACCCCCCGGGCCCTGTCCTGGGGTCTCGGTGTCCCCTATCAGCCCCGTGCTGGGGCCTCGATGCCCCCACCACCTTAGCGCCGGGGTCCCGCTGTCCCCTGCCACCCCCCCCCCCCCCCGTGCCAGGTCACCGCTGTCCCTCTGCCCGCAGGCGGGACCCTGAAGACCCTGGAAGAGGCTGATGCTGAGTCCCTGCAAGCGACGTGGTGGGCTGGGGACCCCCGTGCCCTGCCGCTGCGAGCCCCGGACATCCTGCCCTTGCTGGACCTCGCTGCCCGCTACCGCCGCAGCCCCCCGCACCCCCCAACGCTGCCGCAGGAGCTGCCCTGCACCCCGCTCTGCTTGAGGCTCCTGGTGGCCTTCGCCAACGACGCTGGGGACCTTTGGGTGCTGCTGGGGGTGACTGGGACCCCCCACCTGCCCGTGGTGGCCTGGGGCACGTCCCCAGCCGAGCTCCATGGGGGTCTCAGCCTGCCCGTGCTGCGGCTGCTGCAGGACTGCCTGCCCCCAGCGCCCCCCCCGGGACCCCTGGGCTTGCTGGGGCTGCAGCACCGGGCTGGGGGACCCGGGGGGGCTGATGGCATCTGCTTCAACGTGCTGCTGAGCATCCCGCCCGGCAGCCCTCGGGCTGCCCCCCCCGAGCCGTGCAGCCCCACTTTCCACTGGTGGTGTGTGGAGGAGGAGAGCCTGAGGGGCCGCATCCTGCAGCGGCTCCGCACCACGGCCACGGTGCCTGTCCGTAGCTAGTGCCCTCTAAGCCCCCAGCAGCCTGGTTTTGGGTGCTGGGGGGGCGGGGGGGAAGGCAGTTGGGACACATGGCTGGGGGTCCTGCTTGCAGTGCCAAAGGGAGAGCCCCGCCCTGTGACTGGGGGGGATGTTTTGGGGCAGGACATGGTGCTGTGTCCTGGCCCGGGGAGGGTGCTGAGAGCCAGGCAGAGCAGAAATAAACCCGGCTGCTGCTTCTTGCATCCACCTGGCTGCAGTTGAAAGTGGGGGGGGGGGGGGGGGGGGGGGCGGTGGGGAATGGATTGGGGAGCTGGGTTTTGGGGGGGATGCTTGGGGAGGGGGACAGGCGCAGGATCGATGGCACAGCGCGGGGTGCTGAGCTCGTGGCTTTATTGCAGCAGAGTCCCATCACCCAGGGGACACGGGGCCCGGCTCTGCGGGGTTTGGGGTGCACTGTCCCTGCCAGGCAGGAGCCACACACGCAAAAACACGCCGGCACACACGCAAAAACACGCCGGCACACACGCAAAAATAAACATGCACGCACACACCCCCCCCGTGCCCCAAAGCTGGGGGAGATGATTGTGTTATTGCAGCCGAGGGGGTGGCATTGCCCCACGCAGGCAGAAGACAGCACCGTGCCCCCGCGCCCCGTTATTGCCCCCCAAAATATCCTGCTTGAGGCTGGGGGGGGGGGGTTGGGGGGTGCAGCTGGGATGTGGGGCAGAGGGGAGCGGGAACCCACCACCACCCAGGAGGAAACGCAGCACGGTTCGCTTCAACCCGGAGGGGGCCGCATCCTGCGCCGGGGGAGGTGGCATCGCCTCCGGGTTGGCCAAGGCGGCGGCGAAGGACTCTGCGCCTCCTCTTCCTCGTCACGGGTGTCCCCGGGGTGCCACCACCATGCCCGGCTACCGGGGATGTGCCAGGGCCACTGGAGGCTACTGACACATAGGTTGGGCCATCCCCGGTGGCCACTGCAGGTGGGCCGAAGAGGGGGTGCTCGGCCGGGGGGGAGCTGCGGTTCAGGGGGGCCCCTCCGGTGGTCCCTTGACCAGGGCGATGGCAGCCAGCTCCTTGCAGAACTCCTCCAGCACCACCACCCCCTGGAAGAGCATCGTGTGGTCCATCCTGCGGGGAGACGAGCAATGGGGGCTCCGTGGGGAGGGGGGGGGGTTACACCCTCCCTCATCCTGTGCGCCCCCCCTAAAAAAAAAAAAAACCAACAAACCAGACTTACTGCTCGCCGGGTACCAGCCCCATGAGCTGCTGGCGTACCAGGAGCAGCTTGGCCCTGAAATGGGGCACACGCTGGAGCCGCTGCATCAGGTCCCCGATCACCTACATGGGGGGGGGGTGGGGGGGAAAGAGTCAAGCCCTGTTTTGAAGGGGGGGGGCGTTCCTGGTGTCTGTGCCCCCCTTCCCTTACCCCAGCAGGTGACATTACCCTGACGAGGACGGAGAAGAGCGAGCGGCAGCCGGGTGCCAGGTTGAGGTAGGGATCCAGCAGGTACTCGTGGAGGTGGGGATGGGGGAAGGTGGCCAGGCGGGACAGCACCGAGGTCACCTGTAGGTTCAGGCTGTAGGGCTGGGGGTGGGGGGGGGGGGGATGCTCAGTGGGAGCCAACACAGCCAATATTCCCCCCACCCCACCCCCCAGCATCCCCCAGCTGGGGGGACCCGAGCCCATCCCTATCAACCTCAGTGGCTGCAAATGCAAAGTGACTACTTTACACACACACCCCCCCCCCCGCCAACTCTGGGTGTCCCAGACCCTTGAAAAGGGGTTTGCCCCCCTCTGCTGTGGATCCGTGGGGCTGGCAATAACCATGGGAAGCCAAAGCATCTTCTATTCAAACATCCCCCCTCAAGATCAGTCTGTGCTGTGGGAAAAGCACACCCGCCCCCCGCCCCAGGCTGTGCCAAGGTGGGGGGCAGAGCATGGTGGGGACCCAGGTACGTCCCCGGGGCACCCCCCGTACCTGGTCCAGGATCCGGGTCATCCGGTCAAACAGCACCTTGAGGAAGTGGCCCTCGTAAAATGTCACTTCGGGGTGACAGGCGTCGAGGGGCCGGGGGCTGGGGGGCCACCCCCATGGGGCCGCGCTGGCCCGGCACGCCTGGACCTGGGGTGGATGATGGGTGACAGCCAGAGCCGGGGCTGGGGGGGGGGGGTGTTGGGGACGGGGACCCCCTCCCCAGCCACTCACCATGCCCAGGGCATCGTGCACATAGGTGTCGTAGCCACCTTCCTCCATGCACGAGGAGGTCTTCGCCTCCTCGGGGACCAGGCAGAGGAAACTGGGAGAGAAGGGAGAGGGATGGAGAGGGGGGGATGCAGACCCCCCCCCCCCCCCCCGCCTCCCCGTGCTGCAGCAGCCCCTACAAATCCCTACCTGCTGACCACCTCGCTCACTTGCCCCTTCCCCGACGGGGCTGATCCCAACAGCAGCTTTTTCGCCATCCCAAAACCGGCGTCTGGGAATCCATCGGTGAAATAAGGATCCTCCTCCAGGTCCCTGCGGGGCCAGTGCGGGGGTATTAGCTGGGTGGGGGCACCCCCAGCCCCTCCGCCCCCTTCCAGCCTCCACTGCTCACTCACAGCCCGTCCTCAGGGTCCAGCTCGGGGGGTCCGCGCTCGTCGGGCGCGGGGGGGCTGCGCTGCAGGTAGCCCCTCGCCTCCAGGTTTCTCAGCGCCAGGCTGTGGGCCACGTGCTCGTGGGGTTTCCGCAGGAGCTCCTCGAAGAGCCGCAGGCTGGCCAGGCTGATCTGCGGCACGGCGAGTGGGGTGAGACCCACCCCTCTCCCGGGGGCGCTGCACCCCAGCATCCCCCCCTTCCCTGCACCAAAAAAAAAAAAAAAAATGGGGCTCACCTCATCGGAGAGGTGGTTGCAGCGGTCGATGAGCTGGCTGCGCAGAGGGTAAGGGGTGTCCCCCGGGATCTCGGGGTGCCGGTCCGGTCCCAGCAGGAAGAGCACGAGGCGGTGGAGCAGGGGAGGTGCGTGGATCTGGCGTACCGTGCCCGTCAGCATGGCCGTGGCGCTGAGGACGTGGAGCTCGGACCTGCCGGCGACGGGGTGGGATGCTGCGAGGGGTGTCCTGAGACAGCACCCCAGCATCCTCACAGCAGGGGAAAAGGAGGTGCAGGCAAGGGGCACCCCACAGTCCCAGCCCCAAGGGGGTCCTTGGTCGAGGAACTCTTCCCCCCCTCCCCTGCATTGTGCCTCAGAACACTCACATCTGCAGGAGCTGTGGCTGCAGGATGCCCTGGAAAAACCTTTCCTCCACGGCCTCGGCGATGGCATCCGCCACGACCTGTGGGTGATGGCAGAGGCTGAGCCCCGGCGCGGGCAGGGGGGCTACGTGTGCTCCCCAAGGCTGGCCGGGCGCTCCTTACCGGGTGGGCACCCATCACCAGCTCGTCGAGGTAGTCCAGCCAGCCGAAGCAAGCAGCCAGGCTCTCCTTCCCGGGGAAAACCCCGTCGTCAGCAGCATCACCCTGCGACCTGCCCGGGGTAGAGGACGTGGGGCTGCGGCAAAGCCTCGGCGGTGCCTGGGGTGGGGTGGTGGTGGTGGGGGGACACCCTTCCTGGCACCCACCCTACCTCCAGCTGGCCCTCTCCAGGGCGAGGACGTCAGCGGGGTGGGTGCAGGAGGGCACGGCGCTGTGGAGGTCACAGAGATGTTCCGCCAACAGCTGGCACAGCGCGCTGCTCCGCACCAGGCGGGCAGCAGCCGTCTCCTGGGCGAGCCCCACGAGCAAGAGCAGGTTCTCCCGAGCCTTCAGCGCGACCCTGCTCTTCTGCGAGGAGGAGGAGGAGGAGGAGGAGGAGGAGGAGGAGGAAGAGGAGGAGGAGGAAGAGGAGGAGGAGGAAGAGGAGGAGGAAGAGGAGGAGGAAGAGGAGGAGGAAGAGGAGGAGGAAGAGGAGGAGGAAGAGGAAGAGGAGGAAGAGGAGGAGGAGGAGGAGGAAGAGGAGGAGGAGGAGGAAGAGGAGGAGGAAGAGGAAGAGGAAGAGGAAGAGGAAGAGGAAGAAGGTGGCATCACACAACCAGCAGCGCCCGCCATCCCCTCCTTGCCAGCCCTTTCCCCCTCCCCTTACCTTGCTCTTGCACAGCCCCACCAAGGACGTGACGAGGTTGCTGTCCCTCCGTGGCGGGGAGGGCTCGGCTGGGGGGGGGCTGGCAGTGGCGGTGGTGCCCGGGGGATGCGCCGCACCCTCTTCCACGGGGCTGGCCGGCAGCTCCTGGGCTCTCCTCCCGTTCAGGATGCTCTTGCCCTGGAGAAGAAGAGGAGCAGCAAAGCATCATCGCCACCATCTTCCTCCCACTCACCCCGAGGAGCTTTGCGGTGGGGACGGAGCCCCAAAACACATCAAAAACCTCAAGGAAACGCCCCAAACCCCAGCGAGGACGTGGCCACAGGGCTGCCCGGCGCGGGGGGCTGCTCACCTCCAGGATGTGCACCAGCAGCGTGGGGTCCTGCTTGATCTTCGTGCAGAGGACGGCAGCGAACTCCACCTCCTCCTTCTCCGTGCCGGAGCCCAGGCGGTCGCCGCTGAGCTGGAGCAGCTTCTGGCAGGGCAGGGATGGAAAACGGGGGGGGGGTGTGTGGTGTGTGTGTGCTGCTGGGCTGCTCTCCCCCCCCAACCCCTCATTGCCCCATTCCCACCGGCATCGTCGGGTCCCCGGCAGCGTTTGGCAGGGACACAGCATCGCCGATGGCCCCGTTAGCTGGGACGTCCCGTTGCCCCCCCCCCCCCAAACCCCCCACCCCCCCGGGGCACGGGGCTCACCTGCACCGGCCTGTGCACGTTGAGGTAGTGCAGGAGCGGGTGCTGCATCTGCCCCAGCACCCGGCTGAAGAAGAGGAGGACCTGCTGCCTCATCCCGGGGGGGTACTGCGAGGGAGATGGGGGGAGGCATCAGCGAGAGCCCAATTAGCTGTTTGTGTACCCAATTAGCCCGTAATTGCCCCAAACCGCCTGCCACATCACCCAGCAGTCGGTGGGGGTGGCTTGCAAGAACACGCTCAGCAGAGATCCTGGTTTTGCTCCCCCAAAATAATGCCAAGAGGCCCATGGACCCCCCGCCCCTGCCCCAGGCTCCTCTCCCTTGAGCAATTAGGGACCTAACTCAGTTCTCTGAAAAAGAGAGAAAAACCCAGAGGGATTATTTCCCCTTTCCCACTGCTACAATGCTAGGGATGGGGAGTTAAAGCCCAGCACCCCAAAAAAAACCCAAATCCTCACAGCCACGGAGAGGTCAGCATGCATTTCTGGAGCCCACACTGCGCTGGTGTGTGCTTATGTTTGGCTAAAAGGCTATTTAGAGGGAGCCTCATTATTATTAGCAACAAAGGAACAGCAGAGCTGTTAATATCTGGGCAATATTTACTTTGAGAGGGGACTGTCTAAAAACACCTTCTCCTGCGAACCCAAGCCAGTTGTGCAAACAGGCTGCTGGTGGGAAAAACACTTTCCCCGTGCACGCAGGGATGTGACGGGGTGCAAGAGGCACTCGGAGGAGCAGCCGAAAAGATCCCAAGGGGGCTCTTACACCGAGCAATCCAGCGCGCCCCAAAAAAAAAAAAAAAAACAAAAACAAAAAAAAAAAAAACGCCAAGCACCCTGACCAGCTCACACACCGCAACCTCCCGTTGCCCAGCTAGAAGAGCTTCAGAATTAAAATTCCTGAGCGGCACCACTTAAAGCAGCTGGTGCTGCAGCACGGGGTGGGGGGGGGTGGTTCAGCCCCCCCCCCCAAAGTGGCTTTCCCGGTGCCTGTGCACCCACCTCCGCCTTGCCCAGCGTGCCGAGGGTCTCCAGGACCTTGTGCTGCAGCAGGTACTCGAGGCACGGGCCGGTTTCCCCGGCCGGCCGCTGCTTCTCCTCGTACACCAGGATGTCCAGCATCTGCTTGAGGCGCCAGGGGATGTCCGTCTGTCTGGCGGGGACGCTCTCGTCTGAGGGCACAGGGATTGGGGGGAAGGACACGGGCCCCCGGGGTTAATTTGATGGAGGGGGGGGGGGGGTTTCTCCGGCAGCACCCCGAGGCGTGCTGGCCCAGGATCCTCCTCCGGCGGGGACGACGCTAGATGGCAATATGTGATGATGGAGGCCCAGCAAGAGCTCCAGGCTGCTCCTTCCGCTCCTGGCCTAGCAAGACGCCGGGCGTCCCCGCCGCCGCGGGACCTGCCGGTTGTCCCGGTGGGCTGCGGGGTTGCCAGCCCCAGAGACCCCCCCCGGCACTGCCCAGGAGGGGAAGGGGCAGCGTGAGGAAGGGTGGGTGGTGGTGCAAACGGGAAGGACCGAGCTCCTGCTGAGGAAAGGGCTGAAGGGTCTCCGGGCCCCTGCTTTTAATGTTCCCGGAGGGACGTGCCTCAGCCTGCGGATGCTCCCACCCCCACCCAAAACCACCCCCCCCCCCGGCCCACCTTGTGCTGACCCCGCTGGTGTGGGGCCGGGCAGGGACAAGCACCCAGCTGGATAAGTCCTCCCAGGGTACGGGAAAGGGTGTCCCATGCCAAAGCCCCTCGTGCCAGGTCAGCCGCGGTGCTCTAGGGTCGGCACGGTGCTGCAGGGGGGGTCCCGTCCCAGCGCAGGGGGGTCCCGTCCCGGGGCACAGGGTCCCATCCCAGCGCAGGGGGGTCCCATCCCGGCACAGGGGGGTCCCATCCCGGCACGGGGGGGGTCCCATTCCGGCACAGGGGGGTCCCATCCCAGCACAGGGGGGGGTCCCATCCCAGCACACAGTGTCCCATCCCAGCGCAGGGGGGTCCCGTCCCGGGGCACAGTGTCCCATCCCAGCGCAGGGGGGTCCCGTCCCAGCACAGGGGGGGGTCCCATCCCAGCACAGGGGGTTCCCATCCCAGCACAGGGGGTTCCCATCCCAGCACACAGTGTCCCATCCCAGCGCAGGGGGGTCCCATCCCAGCGCAGGGGGGGTCCCGTCCCAGCACACAGTGTCCCATCCCGGGGCGCAGCAAACCCCTCCCTGAGCACAAAGCCCTTATTCCCAGTCCATGGGACCCTATTTTAGGGCACAGGGACCTTCTCCCAAGACAGGAGGACCCCGTTCCCACACCACAGGGACTTTATTCCCGCCCCACTGGGACCCCGTCCTAGGGCACAGGGACCCCACTCACCCGTGGCCTCCAGGTAGTAGCCCGTGACGCCTTTCCAGTGCTCGGTGAAAGCTCCCAGTAGGTCCAAGCTGGGCTCCCGCTGCTCACACGGGGGCCGGGGGTCAGGGGTGTCCCCCAATCCCGGTCCCACCGTCTCCCCCAACCCCCCCCCCCCCCCGACCCCCGTCCCCGCTCACCGTCTCCACCGCCTGTTGCAGCAACGCGCCTAAGCGGCTCAGCATGGCTGCACCGACCCCCCCCCACACCACCACCACCACCCCCGAGCCCGGTCGCGACCCCCGAGCCCGGTCCCGACCTCCCCCCCCCCCCCTCCCTCCGCCCTCCGCCGCGTCCCCGCTCCGGTGGCTCCGCCCGGCGCCGGGCGGGGAGGGCGGCCCGGCCGCGGTCCCTCCCCCCCCCCCCCGCCGGAGGCTCCGGGAATCCGGCTGGATTTGGGGAGCAGGGGATGGATTATGGGGTGGGGTGGGGGGCGGGATGGAGGCGGCGGGGGGTTTGGAAAGGTCCCTCAGCCTTGAAATTGCTCCCGGAGGGGGGGGTAGTCCAGCCGCCCCCCCCACCCCCCCCCCCCCCCACCCCCCTCCGTGCACTGGGATGGGGACAGCCCCCCCCCCATGAAAACCTCACACTGGGGCGGGGATAGCCCCCCATGAAAACCTCATATTGAGTGGGGACAGCCCCCCCCCCCCCCGAAAACCTCACATTGAATGGGGAGAGCCCCCCCCCGCACTGGGACGGGGATAGCCCCCTATGAAAACTTCATACTGGGGTGGGGACAGCCCCCCTCCCTGTGCACTGGGACGGGGACAGCCCCCCATGAGAACCTCTCAGTGGGACAGGGACACCCCCCCAGTGCACACCAGGCACCAGGACAAGGACAGCCCCCTCCCCAGCTCACCTCTTCCCGCAGCACAACCCAGTAGAAGCCAAGTTTGATTTTTTCTTTTTTTAATTTTTTTTTTTAATTTTTTTTTTTTTTTTAATCCTTTTTAAAAAAAAAAAAAAGGTTTCTACGATTAAAAACAAGCCATGACTAACACAGCTGCTGGGAAGCAGCCCAGGGCCCAGCCCGGGTCCCGCTGACTCCAGGGAAGGTGCAATTCGGTGCCCCAAGCAGCCCCCAACGCTCTGTGTGTGTCGTCCCCCCCCCCGACCCCGCTGATGTTTGCTCGGTCTGGGGTATATCCGCACCCACCCCTGTGAGTGGGTGTCCCCGGGTGGGGGGGATACGGGGGGGGAGATGCCAGTGCACCGTTTCAACTGGACCTGCACTGGGGAGAGAGCTGGCGGCTCATGGGGTTGCAACGGGGAAATCGGTGCCCCCCAAAAAACAGGGTGTTGGGAGGGGGGAGAAGGCAACGAGGGGTTCACCGCCCTCCAGCCCTTGCACCAGAGAAACCAGAAACCCGCAGATGGAGTTTATATGTATATACACACATATATATATACATACATATATATACCTATAAAAATAGATGTGCGTAGTTGTAGCGTTGATATTGATGGTTAAAAAACCAGGCTGGCCCTGCACGATCCACGCGCAGCCCCACGTTCATGCTGAGAGATGCCTGGTCTGGCAGGTACATTTTGGGGAGGGGGGGAGTTGCTGCTGCAGCGTCGGTCACATCGCAGACTTCATCTCCCACTCCTGGAGAGCGGCCGAGACGGGTGGTCAACCCCTCCGTGTCCCGGTGCCACGCGTGGTGGTACCCGGCTCCCCTTAACTCTGCCCACCCCACGCAGGACCCGGTCGGTACCTTTCTCTTCTGCAGCACTTTTCCCTTCTCCACGATGACGGGCGAGGGGGATGGCTTCAGGGCGCTCCTCGCCGACACGGTGCGCTTCAACAGCGGCGTGAGGAAGGAACCCTGCCACAAAAACGGAGCGGAGAGAGGGCGATGCCTGCCCTCCTGAACCCTCCGCGTTCCCTGCAGCCCGTGCCCGCCCCGGTGCCCATCCCCGGCGCCCGTCCCCGCACCTCGGAGCCAGCCGTGCTGGCGGTGGCGGCGATGTGGCCCTTCAGCGACTTGCCGATGGCCAGCAGGTTCATCTCGGAGCCGGCTTTCAGCTTGCCCTTCATGCGGCAAGCCCTCTCCAGCTGCCCCACCTTCTCCTCCAGTTTGGGGAAGGCTCTCTTCCCTGCAAGGACAGCGGGGGCACTGACAAACCCGGGCACCCCTCGACCCCACCGGCTGCTCCGCCAAGGGCCAGGTACCCCCCCCAGCACAGGGGTAGAGCCCCTCTGCGGTCCTACCGATGAAAATATCCAGCCCATCCCGAGCCCCTTTCCTCTCGGGCAGCGTCAGTGTGTGCTGGGACTGGGAGAGATCCCTGCTCCGGAGCTCTGGGCTCACCTTTGCCCGCTGCGGGCTGGCAGCCCCGCTCCGGAGAGCTGCCACTGGTGCTAGGGAGGAAGAGCAGAGGAAAGATGCTGGGGAGGAAGGGCAGCGGCACGACACGTGGTGCTTGTGGGCTCCGCAGCCTTCGTCCCAGCACATGGGGCTGGGGGGGTGCACGGGGAGGTGTGGGGGGGACCCCCGCTGCTGCCCTGGGTGGAGGAAACAGCCCCTTGCTCACCTGCCTGCGAGGGCAGGGCGTTGCTGCAGGCAGCGGTGGGCAGCGCCGACACGGGCCTCTTGCGCTGCCCTTGCACCGCTCGGTCCAAGCTCTGATGCTGCAGGAAAAAAAAAAAAAAAAACAAAAAAAAAAAACCCACAAAACAAAACTTGGGAGAAGCCCGTGGGCAAGCAGACGGTGGGAGCGCATCCCCTTCGTCCTGGGGCTCGCATGGTGCGGGGGGGGTAAGGGGCATCAGTGGGGGTTACCAGCTGCTGCAGCTGTTCCGCGTTGGAGTAGAGGTGCTTGGGGGTCTCGGCTGGCGGGAGGTGCCCGAAGGGGTCGTCCATGTAGGCGTTGGGGGTCGGGACACGGCGCAGGAGAAGCCCACTGCGAGCAGGAGAGGGGTCCCATCACTGCTCACAGCCCCACAGCACAACGGGGGTGGGGGGGGAGGGATGGGACACACACGACAACACTGGTTGTTCCCCAGCTGATGTCTCCTTACCCCGCAGCAGGGCAGCTGCCAGTATTGCTCGGTTTGGGGGTCTCGGTGTGGGGGCTGTCGCCGGCCAGCTCCCCCCCTCCCCTGACCCGCAGGGTCTTCAGCCAAGCTTCCCTCTCCTCATCTGAATGGGTCTGGCGTGGGGCAGAGGGTCGGTGCTCAGGGGATCCCCCCGTGCCGAGGCTTGGGGGGGGGGGTGGGGGGGGGGGGGTGTTGCTGTGGGGGTTGCTCACCTGCAGCAGGGCGAGCTCCCGGCCTCGCTGGGCGATGCGGATGCGGAGGCGCTGGGGGGAAGCGGCAGCCGCCCCCGGGGAGACCTCGCAGCCGTCCAGGCGTAGGGCGCAGACGGGGCGCTGGGCACCGCCGGGCTCGGGGAACATGCGCAGGGCTCCCTGCCGCACCGCGCACCACAGCCGCTGCCACCGCCCGCGCAGCCGCACCGCCAGGAACCCTGAGGGTGGGGGTCCCCCCGTCAGCAGTGCCACGGGGCGCAGGGACAACCCCCCCCCTCGCCCGGTCCCCACGCATTATACCTCCTTTAGCATCCTCTCCCGGTCTGGGGCTGCGGGCAGGGCTCTGCCGGGAGCAATCCTCCTCCTCGTTGAGCTGGGATCCAGCAGCCTGGGGATGGAGATGCAGAGAGCCCCGTCCCCCACCAGTTTTAAGCCCCCTGCACCCTCACCCCCACCCCACGGCAATGCAACCCTCCCCAGCATCACCCAACGGAGACAGCGGGACAAGGAATTGGGGGGGGGGCACTCCGGACACCCCTGGCAGCCCCTTTCCCAGCGGAGGACAGGCGGCTCACCCTGCCAAACCTCGAGGAGGGAGACGCTGGGATGCTGACGGCCGCCAGCCCGCTCGGGGCATCGCTGCTGACCTCTTCGATCACCTGCCAAGGGAGAGGGGAGCGCTGCAGCCCCGGGCTCCTGCTCCCTCATCTAACGGGGCTCCAGGCACCCCCAGGATGGGAAGAAGCTGGGGACAGACACGGTCCCCAAACCACCGTCCTCAGCCACCTCGGGAGCCCCCCCGGCAGGGCTGTGCCCCCGTTTCTCCCTCCTGCCCACGCAGAGCTCTGCCAGGCTGCAACACCTCCAAACCTTCCTCCAGTCCTCAGCCTGCTGCCGGCTCTGGAAGCCGATGACCAGCGCCTCGCCCGCCGTCCCCGTCACTTTCAGGGCGTGCGGCATCTTTTTGCCGCGCTTGGCCTTGTAGGCGACGTGGCAGCCCCTCAGGTCCAGCTCCAGCACCGGCTGCGCGTCGGCGGCACACCTGAAGCACTGCGGAGGAAACGGCAGGGTCGGCAGAGCTCGGGGACCCGCTCCCACCCTCCATCCACCCTCCTCCTCCTCCTCCTCCGGCCGCTCACCAGCAGCACGTGCTCCCGGACGATGAAGAGCTGCTTTGCCCACTGCCCCAGCCAGCGTTTTCTCCAGAGGAAGCCGCAAAGCTGCGCCTCGGGGCGGCCCGAGGGGTCGGCATCGGGGCCGGGGGCCGGTGGCCGCCGCAGGTAGTGGGCACGGTCCGTCACGCCGTCCTCATCCTCCCCGTACGACTCGTAGTGGCTGCTGTCGCTGTGGGCACCGCCTGCGAGCCGGGATGGTGTCAGGGTGCTGGGTGCGTCCCGGTGCTGGGGAAGGGGTGCGGGGGGGGGGGTGCTCACCGGAGCTGCTGCCTCTGCCGGGGCCGAGGGGTTCGGCGTCTTCGTAGGAGTCATCGGCTGGTGGGGATGGTGAGATGCCTGGCGCCTTGTTCTGGGGAGAGATAGGGTGTTCTGAAGGTGCTGCCCCCCCTGGGGTGGACCCCGCAGGACCCCCGAGGGACTGCGGGAGGGCTCTGCCTGGAGCTGACACACAGCACCGCAACCTTCCCGGCCTGGCCGGACCCCCGGTGTGAGCGAGGTTGCAGTGCAGGGATGCCCACCAGATCCCCCCTCTCCCATCCCCTGTCCCAGTGCTGCTGCCCGAGACCCCCCCCAACCACCCGCAGCCCCCCCCCCCCTCCGCTGCCCACCCTTACCCCTCCACGCAGGCTCAGGGCGCTGGCTGGGCGGCACTCAGAGCCTCTCCCTCCCGTTCCATCCTCTGTCCTGGTTCCTGGGGGGAAAAGCAGGACTGGCAGCAGCGTGCCGGCTCGGCGAGGAGCCAGGAACCCCCGGCCATGTCCGAGGAGCCACTGGCAGCGATGGGGGTGCAGGTCAGAGCGTGCAACTCACCCAGGCTGGCCCGGCCCTGGGGGGTCCCCGAGGAGGGCGAGAGGCAGCGCATGATCATATACTCTGCATCCTCTGCTGTGGGGGGGGGGGAGCGCCCAGTCACAACCTTGCTCCCAGTCCCTTCCTTGCTGCCCATTGGGCGCTAACTGAGGGGGGGGGGGGCTGCCCCCCTGTCCGCCCCCCACCCTCAGACCCGCGCTCACACGGGGGGCTCTGCAGCCGGGAGAGGAGATCGGCCACCGACTTTTTCTTGGCCCGAGCCGCGGCACTGAGGCTTTCCCGGTCCAGGATGAGCAGGAAGGACCGCAGGTCCGACAGCAGCTTGTCCAGGTCTGCAGGGGACAGGGACGTGCTGTCACACCCCGTCACACTGGGCAGGGCTGGCAGGGATGTGGGGTGATGTGCCCCCCACTTCCGGCACCTGCCCCGGCTCCGCACAATCCTGTTATTGATGGGCCCAGGGTGCCGGGGGAGGATGAGGAGGGGGGGACGGGGACCCGTCGCCGCTGAAGGCTCCTCTGTGTGTGCTCACAGAGTGGGTTTGTTCCCAGGTGGGAGAGGGGAGCTGTGGCCGGGGGCCGTGCCGGGCAGCCCAACGTACTGAGGAGGAGGAGGAGGAGGAGGCATGGCACATGGGTGCAGCTGATGAAGGCTGCTCCCGGCATGCCGAAAATGCTGAGCATTCACCCGCTGCCCACTCCGAGGGCAGGGAGCGGGGTCGGGGCTCAGCGCCAGCCGGGGACCTCCAGGAAGGAGGGATGGAGCGGGACAAGGAGCTGCTTTGTGCCTCCTCACCCCGGCTGGGGAAGACGACGGGAATCCCGTGCCCTGCGCAGTGGGATGGGGCAGCCTCTGCCCTCCCTCCCCCCCCAAAACACTGGGGAGACCCAAAGAGCTCCAGAAATGGGGAGAGGGTCCCTCCGGCCCTTGAATGGTGGTGGCCTCATCAACTCTGGGTCCGTGCAGGTGTTTCTTGTGCTGCAGGACCACACACCTCTCCAGCCTGACCCCTCGCCCCCCCCAAAGTCCCCTCACCCCGGGCACCCTCCGGCTGCCACCGTGGGAGTGGGTAGATGTCCCTTATGGCCCACCCCCCCACCCCCCACACCCCCCTCCCCACCAGATCCTTCCTGCCATGCATCTGGAAGAGGTTTGCATCGCTCTGCTCCGGGCTCTGCTCCCTGCTCCCAGCTGGGATTAAAATATTGCAGACCCGCTGTTGAAACCCGCTGCCTCCCGACACGGGGCCTGGCTGTGTCGGCTCCCCCCAAGCCAGCCTCCCTCCTCACCATCCCCCCCCCCCAGCAAGAAGGAAGAGGGATGACCCCAGTAAAGCCCTGGCCAGCTGGGATGCTGCCCCAGGGACTCCCAGTGATACCCCGGGTGACCCTGACATCCCCGTGTCCTGCCACATCCCTGCATCCTGCATCACATCCCTGCATCCCGCATCGCTCCGGGCTGGCGGGGGGTGCAATGCACCCCCAAAAACAGCCGGCAGCCCCCCGGGGGAGGCGAGGGCAGGAAGGGGGAAGGAGCCCACTGGTCCCACGTGTGTGACAGGGGACACATGGGAGAAGCCTTTGGGGAGGTGCTGGCATGGGGGGGGGGGGGGGGCACTGTACCCCCTCCTCAGTGTCCCCAGCTGGGGAGTACACACCCCTGCTCGGGGGGGGAGAGGAAACATCTGGCAGGACAGTGAGGCTGAGCAATGCCGGAGCTGGGCCCAAACATCTGGATTTCCCTGGAAACTGAGGAAGGGAAGGGGGGGACCAGCTCCCTGGGGGACTGGGGAAGGGGGGGCTGGGACAGGGCTTGGCTGAGGGGACCTGCAGGCAGAGTGTGAGTAGGGGGGGATAGGGACTGTCCCCCCCACCCTCCCCGTGCCGGTGTGCCTGACTCTTCCTTTCCCTCCCTTTCTCCTCTCCTCCGCCCAGGCCAAATTCCTGGGCAATGACATCTCCGTCCACTCACCCCCTCTCAGCCCTCCCTGCATCCTCCCTCTAAGATCCCCCCCCCGACAGACAACCCCCCCCGGCCAGCCCCAGTGCCCTCGGTGGGGCAGGGGGGGCCGTGCCGGGGGGGTGCCCAGGGGTGCCCGCAGCCCGGTGCTGAGCAGGCAGGAGCTGCCCTCACTCGTGAAACCGAGCCAAGGACCTGCTGCTGCGGCCAAGGAAAAACAGCCAAGATGACAAACAGCTGCCTCGGTCTCCAGGGCGGGAGGAAAACGCAACCCCCCCCCCCCAAAAAAAAAAAAAAAACACACAGCCATCTCCTAGCAAAGCAGCCTGCTCCCAGGGGACACGGCCCAGCCCCATAGCATCCTCATCCTCGCAGGAGGAGGAGGAGGAAGGAGAGGGCTGCCCGAGGGATGCCACGGGAGCGAATGGTCCCTGGGTGATGCCAGCACCGCGGGGGGATTCGGGGCTGGCACCTCTGCCCCACGTGCGTTTTGTTTGGTGCGATGAGGGGCGAGAGGTGGGCAGGCTCAGCCCTGGTCCCCCGTGGGGTGCAGCAGGGGCCGGAGGGGGAGGGGGGTGGGAAGTGGCTTGGGGGGGACCCCAGGGCCCTGCTCTGGTGCTCGGGGTGGCTCTCGCCCAGCGCGGGATGACTCAGAGGAGGCTGGAGGCCGCCCCGAGCCCGGAGCTGCTCCTGCCCTCGGCGTGACCCGGCACTGCGGGGAGGCTCCAGGCCACGGCTTCGGGTGGGTGGGGGGGGGGGGGGGGGGGGGTGGACGTGCTCCCCCCAGGGCCTCCGCACCCCTAAATTACCCCAGGGAGGCTGCTGGCATCCCACACCGTGCACTGTGTTCGGGGGCACCCAGGCACCCCATCCCCCCTCTGACCCCCCCCCGAGCCCTGACACCCACGCCTTCCCCCTCCCCCCCCCCCCACCCCACCCCAGCACCCATCCCACATCCCCCCCCACCCTCCCAAACCCCCCCACTCTCCCCCTTTCACACGCTCTCCTCCTTCCCATACACCCCCTTTTCCCTTCCCCACCCGCTGTGAGCACTCACCCCCTCCCCGTGGGCACTCCACAAGCCCTGCTCCACCCCACGCACACCCTCTGCCCCCTCTTTCCGCCCTTTGCAGGCTTGTACCCCCCCATAACTTTGCACACACACACCCCCAGGCCCCCCCGCTCCGCTCCGTACCTCTCTGCCGAGCCATGGTGCGGGTGGGCTCACATCGCGCCGGGACCGGGACCGGGACCGGGACCGGGACCGGGACCGGGACAGCGCTGGCCCGGCTCGGCTCGGCTCGCACACGCCCCGTGGGCCCCCAGCACAGCCCGGCCGGGGCGTGGGGGGAGGCGGGGAAGGGCTCCGCATCCTTCTCGGAGCACCATCGCCATCTGCAGGGACCTGGGACCGGGGCGGGGGGGACGGAGGGGACGGGGAAGCAAAGCAGCGGAGCCGGGGCTCGATAAAGCCATTTCACCTTTAATTGTAAGCAAAAAATCACTCTCACGCGGATTCTCCGACACCAGCAAATAAAATAAACTCTAACAAAACAGAGAAAGTGAATCACTGTAGTCCAGTCAGAAAACAACCCATATTTATATATATATTTATAGATATGTTGTTTGTAGAGTAGCAGTGAAAGGCAAGTATGGGCCAGTGATTTCCCGATAAATTACATTCTTTACATCCCAACAAGGTCTAGCGGCTGGAAAGTGGCTGGAAACAAAAACCGGGGAGCGTGGGGGGCCGGGGGGTGTGGGGGCAGAGGGGTCCTGCCCAAAAAACGAGTGCCCAAAGAGGGGATGGAAGAGGTGGGAGGAGGGAAGGAAGGTGCTGCCCGGTGTCGAGCCCTGCCTGCACGGCTGGGGGGGGGGCAGGCAGAGCTGCCCCCACCCCATTGAGCTGTACCCCACTTCTTTCCGCCTGGCTGTGCCACCCCAAAGCTCTGCTGCATCCCCCCCAGTGCATCCCCCCCCCCGGCTAAGGGCGCATCGGCTGTTAGAAATGCAGCAGGAGCTGCCTCAGGGTCCCACCAGGACCCCCCCTCTGCCACCCCCCTGCCCCATCCCACCTCACTGGCACCCCAACCCTGCCGGTGCTGGGCAGGTTTTGGCAGTGTACGTGTCCTTGCGTGGGGGGGGGGGTGGATGATGATAAATGGGGGGGCAAGGCCTGGCTTTTTTGAGAGCAAATCGGTCTGGCAGTGAGTTGGCCCCCAGGCTCTTCCCAAGTTTTGGGGTGAAGGTGTGGAGGGGTAGGGGGGGGGGAGAACCCAGGGGGGGCAGGGGGCACCCTGGGTGTGGGGGTTGGAGCCTGATGACCCCCCTCCAGGAGAGGAGGGAAGCCACCCACGCACCGAAGCCGGCACACTCCCGGCCAGCCGAAAGCAGAGCCAGACCCTGCCCCTGCCAGCGTGCCCGGGGGCAGAGTCGGGGGGGCACAAAGCACGGAGACACCCCCCCCACACACACACACATCTCCCCTCCTGGCTGAACCGTGCCTGCTCCGTGCCCCCAGCCCCATCTCCCCGCTCCAGCCGGGTGGTGGAGGCAGGTTTGAGCCCCCCCCGAGCCCTTTGCCCGCAGGAAGAGCGAGGTGGGGAGCAGAGCCGGGGGGGGGGGGGCTGGGGGAGAGGGGAAAGGCGGGGGGGCGGCAGGGGGGGGGGTCTTAGTAAAAACCGGCTGAGAGCCCTAAAGCGGTTACACGGCGCGACATGGACTGAGCTCGGGGCCGAGGAGGGCTCAGAAGAGGAAGGCTTTCTTCTTCAGCTCGTTGCGCTTCCAGAGGGCCAGCTTGCTGAACTCCTCGGGGGGCATCTCGAAGACCCGCACGAAATCCTCGGGGGAGAGGTGCCGCTGCGGGGGGGAGAGGAGGGTGAGGGGGTGCCCCGGGTCCCCCCCCTTTGCTCCCCACCCCTCCTTGACCCCAGTTCAGCCCCTACCTCTAGCCGGGTCCTGTCCACGCCGGGCGGCAGCTTCACACGGCCTCGGTTTGTCACCATCAGCATCTCATAGGGGTAGATCTGCAAGGGGGGGAGCAGGGGGGGTTGTAAGACCCCTTCCACAGCCCCCCCAGCCCTGCCCGAGCCCCCCCAGCCCCACTCACCTTTTGCTCCAACATGCTGGGCAGGGAATTCCCTCTGTCCATGCGTCCACGTTGGCCGTTCTAGGGGTGGGGGGGGGGGCAAAGCCTGACATCAGCTGTGACCCCCCCCCACCACCACCACCACCACCTCCCCAAAGGGCTGCCCTTTCCCACCCGAACTGAAGCCAAGGTGACGGGCTCCAGCCGAGGGATGGGCACACCTACCCTCACCCCCAAAGGTGGCCTGGGTGTCTGTGTGTCGTGTCATTCCTGCCCCCCCCCCCCCCCCCCAGGTACATCACCCTCTCAGTGGGTCTCTGCGCCGGCAGCCAGATGAGTGCTTACCTGCAGGCCTGGAAAGCAGAGAGGAGCAGGGTTCAGCCCAGGGGACCCCCATGCTCTGACACTCCCCCCGTCCTCCCCTGGGTGATGACAAGCCCCATGAGGTGGTTTTCCACCCCCTGCTGAGCCCAGGCTCGCCCCCCAGCATCCCCCCATCCCTGGGGACACCCCCAAATCCGCTGGGACACCCCTGCATCCCCCCCATCCCCACACCAATGCTCACCCGGACTGCTCTTCTCGCTGCCCGCCGAGCTGAACTCTGCCGACTGCAGCTGCAAGGGGACAGGGGACAGCATCAGAGCGGTGCCACCCCCCCGGGCCCCCTCAGGCCCTGTGGCCCCGGCAGCGTGGAGGCAGCTGCCTGCTCACTCACCCGGGTGAGGGTGCTCCTGCCAGAGGCGGGCAGCGAGGAGCTCTTGTAGCTCCCCATGTGCAGAGCTGCAAGGGAGCAAGAGACGGTCAGAGGTGCAGGCAGGGGTGCAGGCAGGGGTGAAGGCAGGGGTGCAGGAGATGGCAGGGGCGCAGGCAGGGGTGAAGGCAGGGGTGCAGGAGATGGCAGGGGCGCAGGCAGGGGTGCAGGCAGGGGTGCAGGCAGGGGTGCAGGAGATTGCAGGGGTGCAGGCAGGGGTGCAGGCAGGGGTGCAGGCAGGGGTGCAGGAGCTGGAAGGGGTGCAGGCAGGGGTGCAGGAGCTGGCAGGGGTGTAGGCAGGGTTGTGGCAGCTGGCAGGGGTGCAGGCAGGGGTGCAGGAGCTGGCAGGGGTGCAGGCAGGGGTGCAGGAGATGGCAGGGGTGCAGGCAGGGGTGAAGGCAGGGGTGCAGGAGATGGCAGGGGCGCAGGCAGGGGTGCAGGCAGGGGTGAAGGCAGGGGTGCAGGAGATTGCAGGGGTGCAGGCAGGGGTGCAGGCAGGGGTGCAGGCAGGGGTGCAGGAGCTGGAAGGGGTGCAGGCAGGGGTGCAGGAGCTGGCAGGGGTGTAGGCAGGGTTATGGCAGCTGGCAGGGGTGCAGGCAGGGGTGCAGGAGCTAGCAGGGGTATAGGCAGGGGTGCAGGAGCTGGCAGGGGTGCAGGAGCTGGCAGGGGTGCAGGCAGGGATGCAGGAGCTGGCAGGGGTGCAGGCAGCCAGATCCACCGGGTAGGGAAGGGACCCCCCGTACACGTGTGGAAGGGTGTCCGGTCCGGCAGCGAGCGGGTTTTCCTCCGGATGGGGAGCGATTTCTCCATCTCCTCCTTCAAGATCAGCTTCCCGAGGTTGGAGGTGACCTGGGGGCAAGGGGACATGGGTGGGGGGTCAATGTCAGCACGTCCCCAGCCCCTCGCAGGGTACCCACCCCCCTGCTCTGGCCCTCACCTTGCTCAGCTCCTGCCTCTGGAGCTCCCGCAGGTTCTTCATCTCCTCCGTCAGGTCTTCCTCCTCCTCCTCCCCTCTCTTGGAGGCCATCCGCCTCCTCCACTCCGTCTCTGGGGGAAAAGAGGGGATGTTATAGCCACCCCCAGCATTTCTGCAGGGTCTTTGGCGGGGAGGGGGGGACAAACCCACCCTGGTGCAGCCCACCCCCTCTCCTGCCCCCCACCTACCCACAACGGCCAGGGATGGGGGGCACGGCCAGTAGTCGGTCTCGATCTTGGCGGGTTGGTTGGGGTCTGGGGGCTGCGCCGCCGGGAATTTGGAGGATTCGATGATCAAGTCCTCTATGAGATGCTTCCCGTGGTGGGCGCCAGGATGGTGGTCTGTGGGGGTACAGGGGGGTGAGGCAGAGCCTGGGGGTGTCCCGTCCCGTGGGACGGACACCCCCCGCTCACCTTTCTGCCTGTAGATCGGAGGCTTCTTGTATATGTTGAGCTCCGTCGTGTCGGTCTCTGCAAGGAAAAAGTGGGTTGGGGGCCAGGAATAAGCAGCTCATGGTTTGGGGAAAGGGGTCACCCAGAGCCCCGGGGTGGGGCTGTTGGGGGGGGGGGGGTGTCACAGTACCGGGTCGGTGGAAGTGCTGCACGCTGCTGCGGGCTGAGCTGCTGCCCTGGCGAGAGGTGGGCTGCGAGGTGCTGCCGGGGGTCCGGCTCTCCAGCCACTCCCGGATGACCTGCGGGAAAGTGGGGCTGGTGAGCAGCGAGACCCTGACAATTTGGCATAGCCCCCCCCTCCCTCCTCCTCCTCAGAGCCCCCCACCTGCACCCCAGAGCTGGGACGAGCGGTGTCAGTACTCACCTCCGGAGATGGAGGAGGGGAGATGGATTTGGGAGACAGAGAACGCTGCAGAAGGCAAAAAGCAATTTATTCCAGCAGCCCCACATCTGCCCTCTGCGACCCCTCTGTCTGGGGGGAGGGAATTCCCCCCACCGGCCCCCCAAAACAACCAAGGGATGCAGGTGGCCCTGGGGCACCCTCACCTCTCGGCTCCGGGGCAGCTCCACGTGCTCCATGAGTGAATAAGTGAAATGGGGTTCGTAGATCATCAAGTCGGGGCGCTCGATGTCCAGGATCGCTTTGTCCTTGGGGATGGCAGCCAGGTCCTTGTAGCCCAGAACCTCGTTGTCCATTTTGGCCTGGAAAGAAGGCAAAGCACCTTTGTTTTTGGGTGCAGAAGGAAAAGCACCTTCATTTGTGGGTGCAGAAAGGGAACACTGAGGAACGGGGAGGGATTCCCCAGAGCTGGCATCTTCCGTGGCCCCGCCGGTGTGATGGAGAGGTGTTGGGGAGGTACCCCCCGACCCTACGGATGGAGGGGTGTGATGGGGAGATGTAAGGGACATCTTACCACGATGCTGGAGGGCGATCCGGGGACACTGGACCCGCGGGAGGAACAGACGCTCCCAGGGGAGGTCAGCGGTTGCTGGAAGGAAAAGGGGAGATTTTAGGAAACATCCTCAGCCCAGCCAGCCCAGGAAGGGGGTCAGGGTCATGGCTGGGACCCCGGGACGTGGCGGGGGGGGGTGGCCAGGGACACCCCTGTGCCCCATGGACATCAATCAGTGCACCGGGGCAAAGCGTCCTTGGGGATGGGGTATTGCCGGATGGGTGCTGAGGTCTCCTTTGCTCCAGCGTTGTGGTTCGGGGCAGGGGACACCCGGGAGGTGACAGTGGCTTGGCCAGGACACGTTGCCACTAGATGGTGCTGCCAAGCTGGGCTCGGAGGAGGAGGAGGAGGAGGAGGAGGAGGAAGGCAGGGCCCTGCTAGCAGCATCCCAGCATGACTCTGCCGATGTCCTTGGCCACCAGCCCCTGCCCTTGGCCACCAGCCCCTGGGTGCCTTCCCTAGGTGCAGGGCTCCCCACTGCCTGGCACACCCCCAGCACCCTGCCCATAGCCCCCAGCACCCTCCCCCCCCCCAGCCCCTTTACCTTCTGCAGTCTTTCCATTCAGCTGTGGGGCTGGAGGGGCTGTGTCAGTCACAGGGTCCTGCGTGGGGAGAGCAGGGGTTTCGGGGCACTGCCAAGGTGGGCGCTGAGCACCCCGAGGTTGGTCCCGGGGTGAGATGCCCGAAGGCAGCGGGGCTGGGCAGAGCCCGGCAGCCCCCCCTGCGCACCGGACCCTAATGTGACATGAGGCTGGCACAGCCCCACTGTCACATATTCACGTGCTGGCAGCAGGACAGGCTTGCCAGGGGATGTCCCCATCTCCGGGGTGGCTGAATAGCTTCGGGTCTGCCCCGGGATGGGGGGGAGGCGCTGGGACATGCCAGACCCCCCCCCCGACACACACACACACACACTCACCGCTGCCTCTGTGGCTCCACATCCCTCTGGGTGCTAACGCTGGGCTGGGGCTTGGGTGCTGCCTCTGCAACAGAGATGAGAGAGGTGACAGTGGCTTGCAGGGTGACAACAGTGTGAAACTCAACCTTGTCCTCCCACCGGCCCCACAACCCCCCCCACACACACACTCCCCCCTCTCTCCCCGGTGCCCGCAGTGCCCTGCCCTGCTGCGTGCCCCCCCTTCCCTGTGCTGGCTCTGGCTGCCCGGTGGCTGCTGACGAGGGCTGGCAAGCGGAGCAGAGGTGATGAAAGCCCTTTGTGTCCCGTCCCCCCCCCGCCAGCAGCGAGTGGCCTCGAGAAGGCTCCAGCGGCAGCGGGACGGGTGTGCTGTGCTCAGCCCCTGCCCTGCAGCCCCCGGGGGCCTGAGCCCTCCCCGTGCTTTAAACCCACAATGCTGCACACAAAGGGGAAAATTCCCCATTCTCCCGAAAACTTCCCCTTTCAGAGGGGAGGGCATCGGGAAAAACCTCGTGCAATCCAGGCGACCACAGCAATACCAGCGCGGAGCCCTCCAGCCTTGAAGCCCCCCTGCCCCCAGCAGCCTGTCCATAGGGATGGGGAGGTGACAGAGCCCCTGGGGACCCCCCCAGCCCCACGGCTCCCAGCGTGGGCACCGAGCCCAACCCTGCGGGATGCAGAGATGGAGAAGGAGCAGATCTGACAAAGCCCGGAGCATCCTCCGGCTGCCGGCACAAGGCACAGCCCTCAGCTCGCTCCTCCGAGGGCTGAGCTGGGCCGAGGCAGCTCTGGGTTTGAGCCGCTCCATCATCCCTCCTTTGAGACCACCCTGCTACAAATACCTCCCCCCCCCCACCCAAGCTTTGGCATCCACCCGCTCACACTCACGCCCAGCACCTCCCAGCCCACCCAAGGGTCTGCAGGACCGGGTGCTGGCAGGATGGGCACCCCCGGGTCAGCACCGAGCGCGGTACAAGGCGGCATTGTCCGGGCAAGCAACGGCCACCCCACGCACCCGTGAGCTCACACTTTCCAGGGACAGAGCCAGAGCAACACCCCCACCCCCCTCCTCACCCCCCCCAGCCTCCGGCTCCCACCCCACGGCGCTGGGGGGCACGGGTGGGCTGGGGACCAGGCGGTGGGGACCGCGGTGGCGGCGAGCAGATGGATGAGATGGCAAATAGCAGGAGGCAAGAGGAAGCGGCAGAGGCCGGCGGGAGGGTGGGTGCGGGGACGGGTGGATGCGGATGCTGGCGGGGAAGGAAAAACAACCCTGAGCCAGGGGTGCGACAGAGATGTCGCGATGGGCTGCCGAGGGGTGGTGGGGCCGCACAGCACTGTGTGTGTGCGTGTCCCCCCCCCGCCTGGGGGACGTGGGGACACGTTATCTGGTGCAGGCAAAGGAGCCACCGCCCCGATGGTAGCCTCTCTCCCCATGGCAACCTCCAATCTCCCCAGCAGGTCCCCCCCCCCCCCGCAACGCTCCCTTGCTCGCTAAGATAAGGCCGCCCCGGCACGTGTTTGGGATTTTCCTGGCCAGGACGGTGAGGGGGAGTGGGGGGGGGGTGGGATAATGTCATGCCCCCCCCCCCCCGCTCCCAGCGTGATGCTGTGGGTACCTACGGTGCTTCGCCGGAGCGGGGAGAGAAAGGTGCTGGGCAGGGATGCGCGGGAAGAGGAAAGAGAGATGGAAGGAGGGAGGGATGGACGGACAGACAGACAGACCACGTGCTGGGGGGGGGCTCGGCGGGATGCAGGGGTGCTGCTCCCCATCCCCCCCCCCCCCCCTCCCCGCGCAGCACATCTCAGGAGGAGGGGGGGGGCTGTGGGGAAGGCGGCTGCTGCGGCGGGAAGAGGCCAGTTCCCTCCTCCCCACCCCGAGGAAATCCGGATTTGACTTTTCGCAGCCGCCAAAGCCATCAGCGCCCGGCCCCTCGGCCAGGCTGCACGAACCCCCTTCGCCTGGGGGGGAGCAGGCAGGAACCCCCAGCCTTCCTCCCCTTCTCCTCCTCCTCCCTGCTTGCCTCGCCCTTGCCGTGGTGCTGGGCACCAGCACCCTGCCGCTCCCACAGCTGCCCCGGCTCCCCGCCAGCGATGGAGCTGGGGTGTGTGTGTGTGGGGGGGGACACAGACATGGTGGGGTCACAAGTTCCCTGAACAGACGGTTCCCGCCAGCCCTGGGAACGGCGTCCGGTGCTTCCCAGCACAGCCCTGGCCTCCTCCTCCTCCTCCTCCTCCTCCCACCGCACACGCCAGACAAACACAGCACCGGAGAGCATCCTCCTCGCCTCGCCGTGGGGGGGAAACCGAGGCACCCTCGCACCCAGGGGCCCCACCGGCAACTCGATCGCGGCGGGGCCAAGCCGGCGGGGAGCACGTGGGTCCCCGACCCGCATCTCACCGGTGTCCGGTTCCTCCTTTGTCCTGTTTCTCGCCCTTTCCCTCCCCACCGGAGCATCGCCCGGCAGCGGGGAGCGACCCTTCGGCTGTTGACAGCCCATCGCTTCCGTGCCATTGCACCCCCCCCCGGCACGGCCCTGCCAGGGGGACGCCTCGGTGGCCTTAAAAGCCACCAGCTTCCAGCGCCTGGCCCTTGGGATTTTTCCATCCCGCGGGGTGGAGCGGACACCCTGCCTGTTTCCCCTCCCGCACACACGAGGCTGCTCTCCATGCCTCAGTTTCCCCGGCTGGTGGGGAGTGGGGGGGAGAGCAGCAATGGCTGGAGATGATGGGGGGGCATTTCCACCCCCCTCCAGCTACTCGATTCCTCCCCGCTGAGGGATCTGGGCTAACCAAGCCGCTCTCCCAGCCCTGCCACAAAGCCCCGAGCCCCCCAACAAATTTAAAGTGGGGATGCGTGGCACTCGCCCTAAAGCTCCTGGATGGGTGTGGGTGGTGGTGGTGGGGGGGGTCCATGCCCAATCCCCCCCCCCCCCGCCCCGATGGCCATGCTGCAGCCCATTTTGGGCAGCGGCTCACGTGGTACGTAATCTGGGATTAAAATGGGATTAGCCTGCTCATCCCGCACGCGGAGGGACCGGGAGGGACCTGCCGGGGGTGTGGGGGGGGGCTCTGGGGCTCCCGGGGGTGGGGTTTGGTGATGCCCCCGGTCCCTGAGGACCATCCCCCCCACCTCCTCCAGCTCTGGTGGCCCCAGGCACGGCACCTGGGGGTGGTGGGTCCCTGGGTGCCCCCGGTGCTGTGCATGGGGCCACCGCAGAGAGGGACCCGCCTGGCAGGACACGGGGCAGCGGGACGTGGCCGAGGGGTCCCCGGGGCTGAGGTGGCAACTGGTGGCCCAAATCTTCCCAAGAGAAACTGGGATTAGCCCTGCCTGACCACCAGCTCCGCACACCCACGGCCAGGAGCCAACCTCTCCCCAAAGAGGTGGCTCCATCAATGGCCAAGAATCGGGGGGGGGGGTTTGCACCCTGTTTTTTCCCCCTCAGATAGCCCCCCCCGATGCTCTGATGCACTGGGGCGATGGGAGTTTGACACCACCCCCGCCCCCCAGTGCCTTGCCAGAGGGGCTGATGGGGCCAAGAGGAGCAAGAGAAGGGGGGGAGCTCCAAAATCCCATGTCCATGCCAAGACCCCCGACCACCACGGCCCCACCACACAGCAAACAGGGAGCAGCAAACCCTTGCATCCTGTCCCAGGGGGGAGTGGGGTAGGGGTGTCCCCCCACCCCCACCCCTCCAGCAACTGCACTGAGACCCCACAAGCTCATTCCACAAGTGGGGCTGGGAATGGCCGGGCTGCTCTGACCTCCTCCCTTGGGATACCCGGTGCCGATGGCAATGTCCCCAGGGAAGGAGGACAGGGGATGTCCCTGCTCTGCCCCGCTCGGGGGGGGGGGGGTTGTCCCGGGGAGGTGGGGAAAATGGGGTGCTGGGAGCCTCTGCTGTGGAGGGGACACTGGTGGGAGCCCCGGGAGGGGTACCCCCTCTCAGCGATGGAGCCCGTGCCCCTACCTCAGGTCACCCCCCCTTCTTGTCCCTGCGGTCCCCCAGCAAGGGCAGCTGGCTTTGCAGGGCTGGTTGTGAGGAGGGGGGCACGGCTGCAGCCCCCAGAAAAGAGGGGGGGTGGGGCTGCCCCCTCCCCCGGGGAGCTACACAGAGCCAGGGGAGGGGGGAGCAGACGGGAAAGCAAAGGGTGGCTGACGCCAACCCTGAGAAACCAGCACCCCCCAGTCCCCCGTCCCACCCCCCCCCCCTCCGCCCTGTCGCGGCTGTGTGTCCCCACCCGTGGCCACCACCCTTCCCTCTCCCCACCGAGCCACAGCCACTCACCTAAAACCCAGGACACCTCATCCCTCCAGCCGTGGGGGGAGCTGGGGTGGTGGGGGGGGGGGGGACACCCCCCCTGGCCTCCTCTGTTTGCCTGGCCACCGAATTACCCTCCCTGGGCTACCGGGCCAGCTGCCCTGGCTGCGGCCGAGCCACCGCCGGCACGCTGCGGCTCGCATCCGAGAGCGTATCTCCCAACCCCAGCACCGCGGCCGGGCCGCCCGCCGCCCCGATAACCGAGGCGTGCGTGGGTGAGTGGGTGGGTGCGTGGGTGGGTGCCGCTCGCCTCTCCCCACCTCTGCTGATGGCTCAGTCCCTTTCCGAACAAGAGGAGAATTAGCCGGCATCATGACGAAGCAGTATTCGCTCCCGCCGCTGCTCGCTCCCGCTCCTACCGCTTCCCCGGCACAAAGAGGGAGGAAAATATAAATAAACCCGACCTGCCTGGCTGCCAGAAATAGCCCGGCCGGTGTTGGGGGTCCCCAGCACCCCCTTTCTCCACCCCTCGCTGCTAAACGGGGGATGCAGCTGGGGACAGCGTCCCCTGCACACACACACCACACACACACCCCCCCCCCCAGTCCCGCCCCGGCTGGGGTTTTGGCACCCCTGAGCACCCCACGGCGCGTGGGCTGGGTGAGGATGGTAACCCCCCCGCTCCTTCCCCATCCAGCCTGACCCCCCGGCTGCGTTTGGGGGGTGCTCCGAGGGTGGCACCGACCCCTTGCTGCCCCCGGGAGGGGAAAACGGAGCAGGAATTTCCATCTCCAGGGCCAAAAGAGCCTGGGGCGGGGGTGGGCAGGGAGGTGCTGAGCATCTCCTAAAAAAATCAAACCCTGCGGATGCTGCCAGGGGCCCCCCCGTATCCCGAGCCCCCCAGGTCCTGGGGGCCACAATCCATCACCCATGCAGCCGGCACGGGACCGGTGCCGCGGCCGGACACCCCCCCGGGGGCGAGGGGGGGGCTGCGTTGGTGCCGCAGCGCCAGGAGCCGGCGTCTATTCCTGGCTCAGTGTGTGGGAGAGCGCTGCTTGGTGACAGCAGCTCCATTTCTGGGTCCTCTCCCCGGCGCCGCGCTCGGTGCTGTTTGCTGCCTCAGTTTCCCTCCTGGCTGAAGCCAGGGCCACTGGACCCCCCCCTGGATACACATCTTGGGGGGGGGATGCACATCTGGGGACACACACACCCCCGAGGGGATGCACCCCCCCGCCCTTTGGTGCCAGGACCCGCCTGGCTCGTTGGACCAAGAGCATCACAGCCTCAGCTCCGAGATGCCGCCGTGCCCCCGCGCTGAAGGGGCTTTGCCAGCCCCAGCCCCACCGGCCACCCCCCCCCCCCTCACCGGGCCATGTCCTTGAATAAGAGAGGCTTCATCTGCCTTCCCCCCCTTTCCACTAACCCAGTTTTTCAAGCATGAAGACGACCGCAGCGGCTGCCACCTGCGCCCAGGGCGGTGGTGGTGGGGGGGGCCACTTGGGTGCCTGAACCAGCCGTGGCACCCGCCGTGGGCTCAGCCCCCCCACGCCACGAGCCCAGCACCAGGGAGGGAGGAGTTTGGAAACGCACGTATCCTGCCCCAGCCAGGCACCGGCTCTTGCACCCACCAAAAGCCAAACCCGGACACGCTCACCAGAGCCCCCCCACCCTGTGTCCCCGGCCCCGCAGGGTCACCCCTCATCCCGGTGATGCCCTTCAAAGCCAACCCCAAGCCAGGCAGCTGCCAGTCCCCCTGCCAAGGCGGGGGGGAGGGTTGTGGGGGGGCTGGGGCAGAGGGGAGCGGGGCCCTACCTTCAAGGGAGCCCATGGCCCACCGCGGGCAGGTCTGCCTGTCCGCCGGGAGCCATGCCTGCGCCGAGCATCCCCTCCCCTGCGCCGCACGGCACGTTGCTACAGCGACCGCCTCCCGCCGCAACCGAACGAGGGAGGATGTGCAGGAGCCTCCTTCGGCCTCGCCGAGCGAGGGAGGATGAGCAGGAGCCTCCTTCGGCCTCGCCGAGCGAGGGAGGATGTGCAGGAGCCCCCTTCGGCCTCGCCGTCCTGCGGGATGGGGGACAAGGAGACTTCCCACAGCCCCGGGGAAGGGGGGGGGGGATGCAGCCCCCGCATCCCTCCGTGTGGCAGGTGCCCGTCCCCAAATTGTCGGTGGGGTTGCAGGGGACATCGTCCCGGAGGAGCCCGGTGACAGCAGCCCTGCGAGGGCTGGCCTGGATACAACCCATGCATGGCCCAGGGGACCCCAGCCCAGTGACACCCCCAGTCCAAACCGTGGGAGCCCTCTGTCAGAACTGGGAGCCTCTGGGGTACCAGGACCAGGAGGGCTGGGCTGGGGGGGGGGCAGTCAGCTGGCACCCATCAACTCTGCAGTGAGGTGATTGCTCTGGGGTCATGGTTTAGGGGAGCTGCCCTTGCTGGCTGCACAGCCCCCCCTTTCCCTCCCTCTCCCCCCCCCCCCCCGAGTCCTCCCAGCATCCCCGGTCTGTGGCAGAGCAAAGCCTTGGGAAAAGCTGGGCACGCTGCGGCGGGGCGAGACACCCTCCAGTGCACTTTCTGCACAGAGGACATTCCTGTCCCCACCTCCGCCCCCCGCCCCAGGTCTCACCTCAAAAAACAAGAAAGAAGCAGTGTGAGGTTTTTTTTTTTTCCCTTCCCCGGCCATAATTAAAAAGGACTCACCCTTCCGAGCCCTTTCTATCCCGGGAGGTCGAGAAGAAAGAGAGGGGAGGAAGGGGAAAACCCTGAAAGAAAAGAGAGGAAGGGCTTGGGAAGGAGAAGAGAAGGGGGGGGTGAAAAAAAAGGGACGGGGAAAAATTAAAGCGGAGATCACACAAAGGGAACTCCTCTACCTTTGAAGCTTTGGCTAAATTGGGGAGGGGGCGGCGGGGGCAGGGAGGGTCCGGACCCAGTCGGCCCCTTTCTCAAAGCCCTCTCCTTTTCAAGAATGTCTCAAATTCCTGTGGAAACAAGGAGCTGGGGCTGTGGGGCCGAAGGAAACGGGAGGGGAAAAAAAAAATTTACCCGGGCCGCCTGGCTAATTCCCGCCTGCCACACCTGGGCAGGCAGCGCCGGGCGCATTGTTCGGCCGTAATTGCTGGGTGTTGCATTTCTCTTCTGCTTTAAAGCTTCATTTAACTCAAACTGTTATAATTTTCTCCCCACTGCCCCCCCCCAGCCGTGCTCCCCCCTCTCTGTATTATGCTGGCGGGGCTTTGTAGGGGCTGGGTGAGCCCCGGTTAAGGGATTACATCCTCCCCGCGGTCCGGCTGCCACCTCCCAGGGCATTGTCAGAGGGGAAAGCAATTATGGGCAGGGTGGGACGGCACGGGCTGGGGGCACCGAGTTTGGGAGGGGGACACACACAGCCTGACTGGTGGCTGTCGTGGGGTGGGCGAGCCGGTGGCCCCCGGTGCAGGGAGCAGCGGGTACCACGCCAAGGGTGATGCTCTGGTCACCAGGATGCAGCAGACTCCCCCCCGGACATACACTGAAGTGGGGGGGGGGGCGGAACAGACAGGGCTGGGGACACGGGGAGTCCCTGTCAGCAGCCACCACCAGCCTCCTGCCACCGGGTGCTTGCACCCTAAGGGGTGAGGGCACCCTGTGCCCCCCATCCCAGCAGGCACAAAGCCTCGACACGGCAACGAAAACTCCCCCAGGCCCCATCAGTCTAGACACTCGCTTTTATTACCCTCGGGGTTTTCCTCCTTTACACAAATAAACTCCAAAGTCTAACTGTTTAGGCCTAAAACTGACTCATAAGGGAAACAGCAGAGCTTGTAAAAAAAAAAAACAAAAAACCCAAACAAAAAAAACAACACACAAACAACCAATCAAAACCAATAAAAATACCCTAAAAGCGGTTTCTCTTTGGCTGGCAGACCCCAGTGGGCACCCACCCGTGTCCCCCCAGTGCCACCGGGACAGGGCACAGACTTTCCCCTCCAATAAATAACGCAGAGAGCCCACGGCTGCAGGGATCCAAGTGCTGGTCCCGGGGTCTCCCAGGAGCTCTTCGGAGCTGCACAGACAGACAGACAGACGGACAGCCCGGCACCTCCCGCTCCCCATCACCCGGCTGCTCGTGGTGCCTCGCAGGGACGGGCACAGCATCCCGCTGCCCCGGGGCTGGGTGCTCTGTCCCACTCCCCCGGGGACATCCCGCGGGCTCGTGGCCGGTCCCATCCATCCCTGGCACCGAGAGGAGGGTCCGTGGGGGACGGGGACGTGTCCGAGGGTCGCAGCCCTCGGTGGCATGGGGACAAGTCTCTGAGGGGGTGCCAAGGGGAGTGGGCAAAGGCACTACGTGGTGAACGTGGGTACCAGAGGATGCCCCAGGGATGAAGGGACCCCAGCGTGGGGCTGGGGACACCCGTGACCGTGCCCGAAGCGTGCCCTCCCCACCCTGCTCACCCAAGAGGAATATAAAAATAGAGCATCTTTAGAAAAGAAATGGGGAAAAAACAGTGCTGGAGGGCGCCGGGGAGAAGGGGCAGAGTCTGGCGGGGCCGAAGTGAGGATGAGGAGGGCAGGACCCGGCGGAGGCGCGTCGAGGCGGGGGGGGGGGGGGGCTGCCGGGCGTTACGTGCGTGGGCGAGGGGCGTGGGTGCGGCGGGTGCGGCGGGTGGGCGAGGACGAGCCGACGAACTCGAACTGCTTCTGGCGCTCGGCGTTGTTGGGGAAGGGCAGCTGCCCGCGGTACAGGCGCTTGATGAAGTGGGCTTCCCGCTGGTTCTGGCGGCTGCGGGAGGCTTTGCGGGGCCGGCCCTTGCGGGTGAAGGCCATGTACCAGCCCTCGTAGCGGGCGTTCTGGAAAGCCGTGTAGTTGTTCTCCAGCACGATCTCCGTGAAGATGCAGTCCTTGCTCTTGCCGTTGGGCTGCGGGAGGAGGAGAGGGGTGCTTAGAGCCCGCAGGGATGGGGCTTGGGGGGCTTGGGGATGGGATGCTCGAGGTCCTGCCCGCCCCGCCTCGGAGTTCATCCCTGCCCCGTTCATCACGGCACCAACCCCAATGCACCAGCACCAGCTCCCCAGGGGCTTCTCCTTGCTGGAGCCGCGCCGAGCAGCACGGTGCTGATGGAGAAAAAGGGGACTGATGGCTCCTAGGGGGGCAGAGGGAGCCCCCCCCCCCACTCACTACACCGACACAACCCCTGTGATTGGGGACACGGGGACCAGCCTGGCCGAGCATCCCAGCTCCAGCTGCTCCTCGGGGTGCCCAGGGTGATCTCTGGGGGGACACACAGAGGGTGAGGGTGGAGGGGTGAGGGGGGGCCGGGACTC